TTTGCTACTCCATTTATGTGTAAGAAGAATATGCAACTGTTTTGGTTGTGTTTGAAAGTTTCCTCTTGAAATGCTGGGTCAAATTACTGGGCTGATGTGAGGGGAAAAAACAATTTAAAGCAGAAAAGGAAAACATTTTTTAAAAATCTTAAGATCAGGAGAATGGGAGAATTTGTTCTTATCTGGAACCCAATATTGATTTTTTTTCCTTGACTATGGTAAGAGATAATCACAGTAGATTTGGATCAGAAATAGAACTCATTTGGTTTATCAGACCTGGGCTAATTCACTCTCTACTGGAAGTCATTACAATAAATTCCCTGAATGGGTCTGCCACTTCCACTTTCATAGTTGAGTCTGGATGTGAAAGACACTAATCCTCCTGTTGATCACACATTGATCAATTATTGCAGTGTCATCCTATGTTTGCTTCTTAGGATGCATCCTTTGATACATAGCAATGTAGCTAAATGTTATTTCTAGCAAATATTCCTATAAGATGAACTTCCAATTTATAACTTTGGTATATCTGAATTTTCTAACAGTTTTTGTTTCTTTGTGTATTTGTTATTACTTAACCTGTTAGGTGCATTGCATTTTTTTCTTACATGACAAAGGATTTTATTTCTGAGCTCTGTGAGATGAGAAAACCTTCATCCCAATTGGTAGTAGCATTTATTAGAAGAGTCTGTCTGTCAACAAATAAAGTCCAAAAATTATCTCATGTCTAAGAATGTAAATTTTTGTTCCCTTTCCTCTTCCTCATTTGAAGTTGTGGATTGCAGCCATTTTTTCATTCCTTTAGGTCAGAGGTGTCAAACTGGATTTCTTCGAGGGCCACATCAGCATTGTAGTTGTCCTCCGGGGGGTAGGGGGAAGAGCAAAGGGACGGACAGCAGATAGAACGGACACCACCTGCAGCACTCTGCTGGCCAAAACAGGGCATGGAGAGCCATGCGTGGCCTACTGCGCTCCGTTTTCACTAGCAGAGGCACTGCAGGCCAGTCCTTTGCTATTTCCAGGCCGGCCCTGGGAGCCAGATCTAAGCAGCCTGTGGGTCCAATGCGGCCCATAGGCCTTGAGGCTAACAGCCCTGCTTTAGGTTAACAATATTGACTGAAGGTTTGCAATTTTTAGAGTCAGCAGGTTTATCATGCAGATGTTTTCTTTCATTTAAATTCCTTCACCCACTAGAATTGCCAGGCTTGATTTCACTATATGCATTTCAGCTTATTGCTTTGGATGGTGGTTTGCCGAAGCCAGTCTTAGCACCTGGTTTTGCTGGATATATTGCAGTTTTCCGTTTCTAAAGTCAGCTGGCTGGGAATATAGGGAGTTTCCATTCTAACAGATCTGAAGGGCAATGGATTATGAAACGCTAGGCTAGTACTGTTCTTAAATTGCATAAAGAATACACTGTTTATAATTGATTGGTTTGACTGTTCTTTACTGATATTTTCCCATTGTTCTCTTTTTCTCCCGATATTTCAGATTATTATTGTGGAATTTGGTGGTAAACCATTTAGTTGCTCTGGACTTACCTTGAGTCAGTGGTTTTGGTGTATTTTCATTGGTGTAGGAGAGCTGCTTTGGGGACAGGTAAGAAAGTGAATATTCCACAATTATTTAAACAATCAGTTTTGTTCCTGCATGTTGTTCGGTTATGTGTTAATTGTTGCCAATCTCATTTCTCTGCAAAAATCCTAAAAGAATTTTTACTTTTGTGTTTGTTCCGTTAACTGCTTAAATAACAATATTATCAATTAAGCTGCCAACATAACCAAATTTAATGTGTGATTGTAACAGTACCATTTTCATTTTACTCATAACTTTCTATCCTATTTTATATTAAAATCAAATTCTAATGCTTTGTGGCATATTTTTTAAAGTTGAGAAGTATATCATAGAATTAGGGGATACATAAAAATGGAAGGATAGCGGTCCTAGGCTATCTGTTACTTACAAGATAAAATTGGGGTCATTTTGTGTAAATATGCGAATTGATATTTGTATCCTCAAATATTCCAGTTAAATCAGTATAGGGAGTTTTTCAGGTGAGAATAAATTCACCAGTAATTCTGGAAAGTCATATGCTATTAGATTCTCAATCCCTATAATTTCATTATTTCTCTTGAGAAAAAAATGTTGTTTTCCTTCTAAACCTGAACGTTTGTTTTTCTTTTGAAGTTGAAATCCTTTCCAGAAACAAATACACGGAACAGCCTTATAGCCAGTTTCAAAGATGTTACAAATGTGTTTGCTATTTCATGGGACATTTTGAGACCCTGAAGGTGTCCAAAAGGCAGGCTTGAAATGAATTACAAAGTAAATTTTTTTAAAAATGTAATGCCAATCAAACTGAGGATGGCATGTTACAAATCTACAGAACTGTTGGGAATCATCACCTGACTAGATATTCAGGTTTATTGAACAATAAAGTCAGAACAGAAGAATTAATTCTGAACATTCCATTTCTATAGTTGATCAGCACTATTCCAACAAATCAACTGAAATTCCTGAAAGAGGCCGGTCATGGGATTACCAAAGAAGATATTGCAGAAGAAGAGTTGCCTGAAGGTCTAGATGAAATTGACCATGCTGAAATGGAGCTTCGACGTGGACAAATCCTGTGGTTCCGTGGTCTAAACAGAATACAGACTCAGGTATGGCACCTATTTTTTTCTCCCTTATGCAGTGCAGCTTGCAGTAGTGCTGTTGCTTTGCTTGAAGCCAGGGGTGTCAAACTCACATTGTCACAGCAGCATCATATTGACATATTGGAAGTTTTTTCTCTTTCGCTAAATCGGGCTTGAGCATGGCCAATGTGTGACACATCTGGCCCATGAGCCGGGAGTTTGACAGCCCTGCTTTAAGCAAGACCAGTCTAAGGACTTACATTGGAAGAATATGACATCCCTGTTGCTGAAGTAATTGAGATCAATTAGCCATATGTTTAAACTAGCAACATTTGTGCAACTGGAGTTAAATGGATGTATTCAGCTGAGGAGTACTTCTAGGACTCCATCCTTGCATTGGGGAAAGTTCTCCCTAAACCTGCCTCACAACAGATCTATTCCAAGAGATAAGCAAGTGTGAGAAGGGTACGTAGTCATGCTAATTTTTATGAAATGCTAATGCAAGGTTGACAATAAAGACAATATGCTGCTTAGATTTTTTTTTTTTTTGCTCAGCCATTATTTAGCCTTCAAATTTTAGAAAGGAAGGTGGTGTTCCTGTTTCTGCCTGCCAAATGATCTTGTAGGACTACTTAGTTCCACTATCTAGAGAGATTATTGGTACAGTAAACAAGAAGGAGCACGGGAAAGAGGGCAATTTGAAGATTGAGAAGCACCGAGCTTTATGGCTAGAAATCCCAAAAGCCAAATTAATGTTAGTATTCTCTTCTCCTTGATAAAATTATAATTTGTTGCACAGCCATTATTATTATTAGGATATGTGAAAGCTGCCCCTCTCCAAAAGATTCTGAAGAGAATATTACATTCATTGCTATAGGACACATGTTTCTCAGCCATGACAACTTTAAGATGCAAGGTACTTCAACTCCCAGAATTCTCCATGGCTGGCTAGGGAGTTGAAGTCCATGCATCTTAAAGTTACCATGATTGAGATACATTGCTGTAGGAGTTTATCGCCAGAGTAGAAAATGTAGTCCTAAGAGAAGGAACATTGTTTTGAAGGTACTTATGCCTGGGAATTTTAATGTATGTCATCTTGAAAATGGGTCTTTGTACAATGCATTGATTAAAATAAAATGAAATATGATTATGGATACAAATTAAAAACAAAAGATGTAGGTGAGGGCAATGAATCCACTGAAAATATCATAGACTGCATGTGTTTACTGAACTCTGGTACTGTCTTTTATTAGCAAAACAAAGTCACATTTGCATGTCACTCTCTGCCTGAGATATGCCACAGAGGTAGTTGTGAGACATGAAGTGCACAAAATGCTTTCAAGAGCAGAACTACAGAATGCTTGAATACATAGCTTGGTTTAGTACATTAAGCTGATTTGCTCAAAATCTTTGGAAGGAGAACCATTCAGAAGTATATACCCTCCTCTTTCTATTCCAGACTCACCTGTGGATGGTAGGTACAAATAGATATAAATTGGAATTTATAAAATTGAGTTAGTTTCTTATAACGGTGGTATAACAAAATCGGGGAGGGGAGACACCCTATCAAGCTAATAAGGAGGAAGAAGGGGTGACCATGTCCAGTTTGTGAAAGAATCAGTCCATTGATGGAGATTTCCATGCCCACTAATTTAAAAATACTGCCAGCTATGGCAAACACTAAAAGTTGCACATCTCAGGGGGGTGGTTGTGGTTGCGGTGGTTGTTATTAATAATATGGCATGCAAACCAGCCTTGAATCTGAAAAACAAAGCTTACAGAATTGCAGTTTTCCCCAAATAGCTTACATTTATCTCTCTTTCTCTCTCATCCTCCCCATGAAATATAGCTGGGATTCTTTTTTACTGCTTACATGATTGAACTACAAAATACACCATGTTTTCCCTTCTTACTTTCCAAATCGAGACAAAACAGTTTGCTAGTAACCTAGAACACCGGGGGTTGTATCAAGACAGCAGCATTTCTATGCCTGCATTTGCAAAATCTGGAATAATAAGGTGGAAAAAAAAAATCTTCTACTGTGAAACCCCTGCATGCTAATATATGTTTGCTGCTTTGGGATGACTTGGTCAGCTGCGATTAATTCTGCTTGGTTACTATATTATTCATTTCCTAACATTGGCTAAAAAGAAATGTCCCACTGTGATCCCAGAGTTTGTACGTTAGAGATAAACTTAGCACACACTTTTACATTGCCTGTTTTGGGCTGACATCGATATCTTTTAAGAACATTTGTATTAGAAAAAACATTTGGAAATGTGTTATCCCGCTGATGTTTCCAGATGTGCATGCTGCACTTTTGCATCATACAGCATTCTGCTTACATGCACATTATCTCCACATCCCACTGTACTTGCAGAGTACCTTTATTTCAAGTTCTTTTGCCCTGCTGCTTCACTCTGCATAATAATTCTATAGGCACATGTATGCAATTACATTCTCCTAAAAGTCTAAATGTATTCCTAGGATTTCTTACAGAAATAAGATGAGCAACTGCAGAAACTTTTTCTCCTCCCACCCCCACCCCCCAAAAAAAAATTACGTTCACATATGCTAGACTCTAGTAGACAGCAGGTTGAATTGAGGAACGGAAGAAGAAAAAAAAAAAAGACTGGAATCTCTTTGCTTAACTACTTTCCCTTTGGATTAACGACTGAAACTGTGTGGGGTGTACTGGGTTTCTCCATTTTCCCCTTCCACTTTTGTTCCTTATGGTATGTATCTGTATCCTTTGTCTGTCAGCTTCCCCTTCCACTATCCTAGTTCCTTTTCCTCTTTTGATTGTGGGACAAAGCTATCTTACTCTCTGATTCTTTGCAGATGGACGTAGTTTACACATTCCAGACCGGCGCCTCCTCTTTACAGGGAGCCCTCAGGAGACAGCCTTCCATCGTGAGCCAACACCACGATGTAAAAAATGTTTCTAGCCCAACCCATGTAGCTCTTTCCTCCGTCAATTCCACTCCCACCACTTCTGCTGCTGCTGCTGCTGCTGCATCTCCTCCTGCGGGCAGTGAGTGATAGTCTATTCAATGCATGACTTCCTAATAAGCACCAAAGGCACTCGCACAAAGCTAACCAAACCTGTTCTTTTTTTCCTTTTCTTTTAACCTATAATTGGATTCATGGTTTCTTATCTTGAGAATTGGGAGGAAGTACGGGGGAAAAAAACAATTTTCTCTCTATTTCTCTGTGTGTATAACTTTTAAAAAAAAAATATTCTTGCATCCTTAACGTTGTTTTAAAATTCCTTCTGGTTCTTTCTCTGCCTTTTGTCCTTCCCTATTGCAGCTCTTTTCCTTCCTGCAGGACTGAATTAGAATTCCCATATTCCCATAAAAAGTCTGATGTCTTTCTTAGAGGTAAAGATGGAACATATAATAAAGGGAATAACCACCATAGATTTGAAAAGGTGAAAATAAAGGCGTGCAATAGCAGGCTTAGCTTTTTGGTATTCATATTATTCCATAATGGGAAGCAAGTTTGCCACTGAACAAGCAGTCTTCTGCATGTTTTACTAACTTAACATTTACCCTTTTTGAACTCTGTGGAAATTATTTCTGAATAAACATGCAACATAACATTTTCTGAAAGCTTTATCCTAGACCCTTAAAAGTCATTGGACATTCCTTGCACCCTAAACTCCCTTTCCACACAAGCATTTCAACCATAACTAGGTAGAGGAAAAAAGTATATGTCACAAAGCAGATAAACTTAGGTATACTTTTTATTTAGAATTTTTTAACAAATTGATTTAGCTAAAATACTGAATTTATCAGATGATTTATGAAATGCCATTTACAATTTTTTTTAGCTTTCTCGTTTGGAGTGAATTGATTATTTATAAAACTTTCTGTGTACCAATCAAAGTCACCATTTTATATTCGGTTTCTTGACACAGCCATATGATGAATTCCAAAATTTTGTGTTGTGCTTCTACGCAATTAAGCAGTTTAATGGTTCAGAAATTAAATTTTCTATATATTAAAGCAGTAATTATTTCTCCAAGAAAAGATGGGAGGGCTACAGCATGTCTTGCAAAATAATACTTGTAAAAGAGATCTTACTAATTTTTCCCATTTTAATTAAGTGCTGCTTTATATGTCTTCATGGAACTGGCAGTCAGCTGTATTTTGCTATTCAACAAATACCATCCTTTTCTTCTCCAGAAGAATTAGCTTAAAACAAGTATTGCATCTATGGTCGTACATTATCTACTGTTTTGGTTGGTTTTTTAAAAAATTCTGTTCAGTATATGTTTTTATGCAACATTCATTCCTTCGTTTACCTCACTTTTCTTAAGAATCCAAGAAAAAAAATGAAAATGATTTATATCATGCACTTAACTAATATTGCTATTTATATACAGTTATCATTTCTGGAGGAGCACATCCCTGGCATTTGTTTCTCTGATTGTGCCTCCAAAGAAAGAAGTGATTTATTACAAATTATATATTCAGACTTGTTTTAAATTTTGTGCACCTCATTTAAGGAACCACACATTTTATGACTCACAGAAACATTAATTTATGTATGAAGAAGAAATCTTATTTAAATGGGAATATAATTTCCCGCTATATAATAATTATACCAAATACTATGTTTTTGTCTTTATGCACTGTCTATGCAGTTGTCTCAATCTTTTTTGCTGCCCTTACAAACCTACTTGTCCATGTCTCTCCTTCATCTGTCTGCCCTTCCTTCCTTCCTTCCCTCCCTCCCTCCCTCCCTCCCTCCTTCCTTCCTTCCTTCCTTCCTTCCTTCTCTCTTTTCCATTACCTCTTTGAAAGTTCTACAGTCCTTAAAACAATTGCAGTGTGCTTGAAGGGTGACTTAGAAAAACAGCAAATTGCGATAGGGAGTATGTCTTGCTCATGGTAGTTTATAATTATGGACTGTTTTCTGATAAGATTCTGAAGGAATTAATGTCCTTAGATTTTCAGAGGAAAACTAAATAGCCTATGGCCTATTCCACTGAAAAGAAAATGGAAAATGCATCTGTTTTTATGTTCTGTCTACTAATACTACTGCTAATGAAACAGACACAAGCAGATAGCTGTGGAACTAATGTATACTTTTTTCCTTTTGATGAGGGATCAGATATGTTGAGAAGTACAAGTCTCTTTTCCAGAAAGGTTATTATTTGGAAGATTCTTTTGAGGAAATGAATAACTGAAGGCATGCTTTATTTCTTCTTAAACTGCAATATGTTTGATCTGGACACAAATGATGTAGATTTTTAAAAACTCTGTACTAGTTCAATGTCCTAAAATAGCATTAATAACATGAAGAAGGGTAGGTGGCCTACTCATGCCCCACTCTTTCAAATTTCATCCTATAGGGAAAAGAAGAGGGGAAAGATACTTGGCATGACTGATGATGTAAGGGGAAATCTCTGTGGGAGACTGGTGTAGGTTATATGACCCTTTCCTCCTGCCATCAGTTACCTCAGATGGGGAAGTCTCAGTGCCTAACTTCTCTCATAACTTAGTGGGCCCTTCTGAGTAGATTCCACTGAGACCAGAAAAGTTCTAGTGAAGCCCCTGAATATTATTTTTCAAATTCTTTATCTTCATGGGACCCTTTTCATATAGTCTGCCCCAAAATAACCAGTAAACATTGCACTTGCCATGGAATCCCACAAATGGTTTAAGTATACATTTATTCATTCAATCAATCAATCAATTTTTATAGTCACCTATGTCAATCAATGACTCTGAGCATCTTACAATATGCTGTCATTTAGGGAAGTTTCTTTAGTATTTCAGAAAATTTAAATTTTATTGAAAATGAATTTCATAGAAGCTTTCTTCATCATTCCTTTTGTTCCTTTTGTAACTTCTCAGCCTTTTCAAAAGGATCTCCCAACTCTTCAGGATAAATTTTGGGAATTTAAGTTATTGTAGAGTTATGGTAGCAGGCAGTATATACAGATTCAAATAGGATAAAGTAGTCTCATGGTATTTGTTGTTATCTTCTAAAAGAGCCATGCTTTTTTCTAATCTCTTGCAGTATTTACATAAAGTCAGAAAAATACAGTAAGGAGGCAATCCTGCGCCTTCTCCAAAGATATTTGATCAAAACAATGTTTTCATGGGTATCAGAATAAATCTGACATTTCCCAATAATCTTTATTCACTGGAAACAATCTCATGAGATAGGTTGGGCAGAGAGAGTGTTCTGCAAATCACCCAGTGGTGCTCAAATCCAAATTCAATAATTTAACTATTCTACCTTATTGTTTTCAAGACCCTTGTGTGTGTATGGGGAGAAAAATATTTATAGGATTTCCCCCCCCCCATCGCCTGTAATCCCAATTCAAATTGGAGAGAGCTGAACATTCAAATTATGCTAAAAAAAACCTCCAATGAAGAAGCAACATGGAAGCTGTTCTCCCAGTGCAAATTGCAAATGGAGAAATTACCATATGTATCAGGATCACAATAAGGATAAAGTTCCTGAACTTTCCATACTAGGATGGCAATCTAAATCAAGACCTCTCATTTACCTTTAAGTAGGAAAAAAGCAAAACCTGATGCCCATTTTATGTTAAACAGTATGATTTTGAGTTCCACATTGTAGGACAGAATTGGGAACCCATGATGTGATACATTTTGAAATTGGGTCCATGAGAAACCCCAGTATGTTATTTCATTAAAATGAAAGCAAGTCAGAAATTTCAGAAAAGCACAACTTGCTAAGTAAAACTTGACAGTAAACTTAAAGGATTAGCAAGAGATCATGAGGAGAAACTGGAGGCTAAGCAAGTAGTAAACATTAAGGCAATTGGGAGCTTATGTACTTATTCTGCATATGAATATACTTGCTCGGTCATTTGTAATATTACAGTTTCCAAATTCGACATATAAATAAACAAATCAGTGAAATTGGTGAATTATGATTGTTACAAGAAGTAGCCAATTTCAAGACACTCATAGAGGATAAATATTTTAGTGGGTTTTGGCCATGATAGCTGAATGAATCCTGTATGTTTAAAATAACCTTTAACTTTAGTTATCAGATTCTGAGGGCAAAAGAAAGGAAATATTATTATCAGAGGTTGCATACAAAGCTTTGGGCATCCCTAGTCAAATTGTATATTTCAATGAATCCCTAACAGAAACTGACACAAATGATACAAAGGAAACATTACATCCTTTTACAAATTTGAATGCATAGTATTTCAGTTGCTTCAATCTTTATTTTTTTTAATGAAGTTGTTAATGAGTCCCCAAAGATGGTTGACTTATTAGATCTTTAGTTGGGTAAAAGAAAAGTTATTGAACAAATAGTCTCACTTTTATAACCTCTGAGATTGTAATACTTGTTCTTTCTCCTTTCAACCATGGGCCCCTCCATGCCAACATTAAATATGGATTGCCTCTATTATGTGAAAATCAATGGCATGGGAAATATTGGGTAAGCAGAAGGAAGAATGGATTCAATTAAAATTCAGTGTATCCTACACGTTAATGTCTCATAGACAAAAGAAATTGAAATCAAAGGTGGTTATGAATGAAAGAAATAAAAAATACCTGTAGCTGATTAATAGAAATTTTTGGAATCATGTGACATGTGGAATCTATATTAGTTGCTGTTTTAAGAATTCATTGAAATATGCCCAGGTGTGCCTAAACATTTGATTATTGTTGATCATCACTTAGCATAGAAAGAGCCAGGGGAGGAAAAGACATAGTAAAAGAATTGAGTTATAATTTTTTAATTGGTTTGTCCTGGCTTTATTTTATGTCAGTTTAAGGCAGCATACATACTTAATGCTTCTACCTCCTATTTCCCCCACAACAACCCTGTGAACTGGGCTGAGTTGAGACATGACTGGGAAAGTCACCCAGCTGGCTTCTGTTTCTAGTCTGGCACCACAGTTAGCTTCATGAACATAACAGGTTCATACATTATACTTAAATGATGTTTTTCTTATCCAGACATTAAAGGATACAATCGCAGGTGGTCTTATGCAACACACCAAGACATAGAGACTAAAATAAAGCTGAATATATCTTAGCACATTGTGTTAATCAATAGGAACAAAATTGAGACAACATTTTATGTTATGAAACTAAAATAAGCGTAGGTTGGATTTGCATGTTAGACATTAAGTATTTTTGGCCCTGAAAGTGTTTAGTATTAGATTCATGGTTTAATTCAGTCAGTTGAAATTATATCAGATTTGGAGATGTCTTCATACCCATTAATATTAAATATGTTGGAAACTTCTAGCATGCTTTAGCCATCTTAATAGTTTGTTCTATTTAAATCAGAACTTTGCCACTTTGGATACTGAAACCCTATTTCTGGCTTCTTTGCAAAGTATAATCCTTAAGGCTTGAGCATTTGAAAGACTACCTGTTTCAGCAGAAACCTTTCCATCATAAAGATGTCCAGAGAGGTTCTTTCTAAATATGCCTCTGCTTGCAGAGGTCTATTCATCTAGCATGCTCTTAGACGGTACAAGGCATTCTTGGAAGTTGTGTTTGTTCTCTTTCTTTATAAGAGTCTTCAAAATGCCTATTTTTATCCACTTTTTTTTTACTTATTTTAATTTGCATTTTATTAGTAGTTGTTTCAAATGCTGAAAATGAGCAGTAGGAGCTGGAGAATGAAGAATTAAATAACAGAGAAACACCCTTCTCCTCCCCTCTCCCCTTTATTTTTTTTTCTGCACTACAATCACATTGCCTCCAAGATTTTTGTCATAATCACAGTGGCTTTAAATCTGGCTACTGGGCAAGAGAACTGAAGAAAGAAAGCAGTGGATGGAACAGGCATTAAGCATTGTCCTATAACCAGCAGCATCACCCCACCATGTGTTACTGGAAGTTACTTTCCAGTACCATTTTTCAGAGAAGCACTAACAATTAATATATGGATACATAAGGCATCCAAGTAAATTGTAAATGTAGCACAAGAAAAAAAAATCACATTGTGTTCCTTTAAAATGCCATTTTCAAAATACTGTGGAGACCTTTAAATAAGTTAATATAATTAGTATGTTACAATGCTCGATTGCCATAAGAGATTGAAAATATTGAGCAAATTTATTCCCACCCACCTACCTATTTCTGAGAACTGAAGAAAGCTTTGGAGAAGGCTTTTAAGTGTTGCTACCATGTATTTGTTGTTATGAATAATTGGATATAAAACATATTTTTCCTATAAATATGCCTGAACAGTTATTTGAATTTGAGATTCATTTTATACCATTTTGGTTTGTTTTAGCTCATCAGTGCATAAAATGTGGATTGCATTAAGATGCACTATTTTAATTTGCTTTGGGGATATGTTTTGCATTCAAGTCTCTGTAGAATGCTGATAGTATTGCCTATAATGTATGTTGATGGTTAATATGAACAATAGCAAGTTTTGATCATCATGTTTGATATGTTGATTTGTTTGAGCATGATTTTCGCAGCAACATGATTCATCATGCAGAGGGAAGATGTCTGAATCCCAATATCAATAATGCTTTTTTGGTATGCATATATGATTTATATTATTTCTATGACCGAAGAAACTGTGATCAGAAGAAGGAATTGAAAGACAGAAATGTCTTAAATCTGAGTCAGACATTATCAAAATAACCAAAGAGAGAGCATGGGATTTTGTGACCTCATTCATTTCCATTTTCCCTAAATCTCAGCTGTTGGAAACTGTAGGGAACTTGTATCCTTTAGGCATTAGTTGCCTTACTCTTACCTTTGAACATTACTGTCACAAACTAAGAGAAGCAATGGGCTCTTTCCCAGAGCAGCAGTGAATGCTGGACATCCTCGTTGAATAAGCTGTCTATTAACTGCTTTTGGAAATGAGTGGCCAGTTTCCAAACACAAGAGCTCCTAGTCTGGGTTCCAGTTTAATAGCCTCTTTACTACTGCATGCTCACTGATATGTTCATCATTCTGCTTGAATTTGCTACAGTACATGGTCTTGACCATTTTTGTGTGCAACACATTTCAGCCAATTAAATCTATAGGTTTGGGAATTTAAAAACAGCACCATCTTTTGCCACCCCAATTTTGCCTTGAAGCAAGCCTGCACTTTGAGAATGTGTACGTTTTAATTGCTTTTGAGCTGCTCCATATGGATAGTTTTGTTGAAGAATAACTGTGCTTTGAATGTCCATGCATTTCAGAATTACTGTTAGAAATGTGACATGTCTTTTCTTGCAGCTCCTGAAGCCACCTCATAGTTGATTGCCCCATCACATGTACAGTGCCTGATTTTTGACCATTGTGGTCATCCTGGTTCTCCATAGATGCTCTCTCATATTGATATTTTTTTTTTTGTTCAAAACTATTATTGCGGCTTCTGTTGTTTTTGTTATATTTATTGCATTCTTCCTCCCCTGAAATCCTTAAAGATTGCCTCTTGCTATCACTCACTTTTTTGTATGCTTGTTTTTATTTTCGTCCCTCATCCTCCTGTGGTGTAGATCAAGGTGGTGAATGCGTTCCGTAGCTCCCTGTATGAAGGCCTCCAGAAACCCGAATCCAGAAGCTCCATTCATAACTTCATGACTCATCCAGAGTTCATCCACGAGGAAGACGAGCCTCAGACCCCATTCCTCGATGGCACTGATGAAGACTTGGAAGCTGAAGAACTTAAAAAGCAAAGTGAAGAGAGCCCAGGGGAGTCCTCATCTCTCAACACAAATAACAATGCAATGGACAGCAATATAGCTGAGGACACCATGCCAGAGCCAGAAAGCCCTTTACACAGCTTGGAAACATCAGTTTGATCTCTGAACTTTGACCTTCCTGCTTCCCCTTTCTTTAGGCAACAAAGGCACCAACATCTGACCACACACTGCAGCTACTTTGGCCAATTTCCTCTGCATCCTCTTTATGATTTCTTGGCTGCAGAAATCATGGTATCACCTAGGTAGAGTTGTATTTTCAACCAATTGCTTGGCAGAGGTGCCTCCCTCATGAAAGAAATCACCAGTGTGATCATCATCTTCTCAAGTTTGGTACCACATGTCTGTAGTAGTACTTGCTCAAGTTATATGCTTAAATAGAGAAGCTCTAGATACCCTTTAAAAGTTTGATGTATAGCATCTATGGCACAGTTGCAAGTTATGTCCTTAATTTTGTTTATGGAATCAGAATCCTAGATGCTTTTATATGTCCTTGGGAAGATGACAATGAGTGTCATAAAAATGTTATTAAAGGGGAGGGGTGGGTGATCTGAGTAAGGAGTTAGATGTGAACCCAGTCTTGCACAGAACAAGCTGGGGAAGAACTGCTATCAATCCTTATGCTATTTTATTTCTATTATCTCTTTGTTTCCAGGGTAGTGTCAGTCACAAAAGATAAGGAGGAATATATAGACAGTCTTAAAATATATTTTTAAAAAAGGAATAAAGCTAATCATAAGGAGATACAGCAGTGCCATATATCCTGAGAGATTGAAATGTTAAGGGGTTTGGTTTTTAATTGAAATTTACTTTTTTATGATTTCAGATCAAAATATTTTGGAATTACATATTAGCTGAGATACATTTATGTATTACATATTACTTGTTTAATTGGAACTTCATCATTCTGAACATCATTCTGAATATGTCATCAGTAACATCTCAACCCCTCTGATTCCAAACAAGGTGGAACAAGTATGGGTTTGTTACTTCTGCCCAATTTTTATTTGGATAATTAGAAGGAGCCAGTTCTTTGGAGAGTGCAAGCTATAAAGGCCAGCTCTGATAAGAGTCTGTCAGTTCTTACAGGTTTTTTTAACTACTTTTTGAATGCTGAAGAGTGAAAAAATAACAGGAAAATGTCTTGGCCACACATACCTACACAGAATGTTTTTGTGCATACAGAAAATGTAAATGAACCAGTTCCGTACATTTGGGACATACTGTGTAGTATTGTGGCACAAAGCACTTTCCTTAGTTGATAAGGATAAGAGTCTCCCCGTTTCTTGTTATCAATTTTTCCTCCCCCCCCCCCATCTTGTACTGAAAGGATGCTTGCTGGTCTCATCTTGATACAGTTGCAATATTGAGATGCTGGTCTGGTGGGAGGTCACTGTTTTACCCTTACCAACCATAGCCATCCGGGGAGCAAATGAAACTGCTTGTATAGAATTTCTGCAAGAGTTGTGGGGCATCTAACCAAACGTGCACTAATCTAGCCCCTTATGTTAGTTTGCAGCGCTTTTCTTGGGAGATATTACCTGGAAGCAAAGAGAACCTAATAGTTCCTACTTCTTTCAAAAGTTTTATTGTCTGGCCATCTTCCTAGCATTCAAGTGTGTGCAAATTTTTGCTGGAAATTAGTTTTTTTTTAAATTGCTTTTCCTTTTCCTTTGGAAGAACGCACAGCAGAAAATCCTGTGCCTTGTCTAAGCACTGCCCAAAGCACTGCCTGTCATATTTCTATGAGTCCAGTACTTTGCCAAGAGATAAGTGTTCCTTAAGCAAAGACAAAATGAACCAAGAAGGAAAGTAAATTGTCTCTTGATTCGACCCTTTAAGCCCAAATCCTTCTACCTGATTGATTGGTCATTGAATTTCATCCTGAGTTCAAAGTAGACTGATGAAGATTCCTTTTCCATAGCTGTTCTTTTCCAGGGTTGCTGTAAAGAGGGCTTGTATGCTGGGCTCAGCAAACTGCCATTATCTGGAATAAAAAAAAAAAAGCCCACCCATGTTCCATCCTCTGAATTGCAAATAAGGCCCTGAGTCATTCTCGCCCTCCTTCCTCCTTCCAGACACATCACTTCATTCCTTTCACCTGAACTATATAAATTGGGAGGACTTGGGGAGTGGAGCTCCATTTCTTGTTGTGCAACCTATCAGATAAGGGGAAGGGCGCCCCTTTTCATTTCATTCTGTTCAAAACATTGCAATGCTTCGAGGTCATTTTTCTATTTTAAATACTTGCAAAAACAAAATGGGGGGGTAGGCGCCTGCGTGAATATTTGTGAATTATTTGGGGGAGGGAATACTGATTTTATTTTTATGTTTGGGTGGTTTTTTTAATTGAAACAATTTTTGGAAGAAGAAGAAACTCACTCCAACTATCTGTAATTGACAGATTGCAGTGAGCTATCTGACCTACATTTTTATCCATTGTTTTCCTTTTTTCTGTCTAGTTTCCTCAGGGGACAGGGGATAATTATATAAATATTATGCAAAAAATATATAGTTTTCTTTAGATCAGAAACGTATATTTTTAAGTCAGCCATATGTATTTTGTTTAAAAGAAACAAAGCTGTGAGTTACGTAACTGCAGTGGAATGTAGTCACATGGCTGGCAGTGGAAAATGAATGTTTGGTCAGACTCTTGTCAGCTTCCTTTCTCTAAACAGCCATCTTTGTAATAAAGTCAGTTGTGTTATACAAAACTGTTTTTTATATAAATTATGTTGATATGGCAAGTTGCTTAAAGTATAAGTGTTTTACAGTGCATACATTTTTAAATGTAAAATAGTTGAGTTTTTCCTAATTTAGTTTTTGGTTATAAAATTAGCTGAAGTTGACTGGCTGAAGTTATTCAAAACCTGTAGCATATGCTGCCATGAGAGAGGATCTAAGATGAAAGCAAGGAGTCCACTTTGCAGATTTATGGATGCGCACCCTCGCCCATTGGCCGCCTTGCTGGTTCCGTTAATACTTTTGATCCTCTGTCTAGAGAAACAGAAGGATTTCTCCTTCCTTATGTCAAAATAATTGAACAGTTCTGTCCAAAGTTGACTACATCAGCCATCTGAGAAAAGGCAAGTAAACCCAATTCAGCAAAGATCAGCTCTTCAGTACAAAGTGCACACTTTATTTTATTTTATGTTATGTTATTTTATTTTTACCCTATGCAGCATTCTTCTGGATGTAGCTAACATCCAAATAAAGTGGTTCCTGCACACAACTCCACTTATAAGTGTAGTCTATCCTTACTGGGTGGGAGTGGTGTTAGATTATAATTTCTTACAACAGTAAGTATGCCGTTAGAAACAAAACTATATTTGCAGGAAGCAAATAATAATGGGAGGGAGAAATAATTCAAGATTGTGCCATGCCAGATGGAAGATGAGGTAGTATCCTCTTGTGTACATTATTATGCTTGGGATTATTTATTTAAAAAAGGAAATGGGCCCTAGAGCAGTTTTTCATCTGTTTCTTAATAATAGGAATATATTCTTTTTGTTAAACAAATTGGCACATTGGTACCAAAGACATTACATTGTTTCCTACGTGCAGTGAAAAAAAATCCATTTTCAGGAGCTAAAACTGTGCAGTTGGTTCTTTTTATTCTATTGCCACAGGGATCTAGTTTAATTTTTTAAAGTTTTGTGCAATACGTTTTAGGAAAATATTATTTTAAAAGGCATTTCTAAGAGGAAAACAAATCTAATTGTAATTTTAGCCATGGGCAATCTAAATGAAGATTTATACCATAACCATGTTTTAGGGTAATATTTGAGCAGTAGTATAAAACACTTGAGTGTTCATTTAGACTTTTGATCTAAGGACCAACACAAACACCCATTATAACGGGGCTGCAAGCAAGTCCACTAAAGGTCTCCAATAATTCCAATTCAATGACCGTATTTTTTAAAAAGTGTTCTTTAATGGATCAGTATTTGCTGAGCACTCCTAGTTCAGCATTTTTATCTGACCTACAATTGATGAGATTACAACAATTATTGGGATTGTTATAACCCTAAGAACAGGCACAGCTTTAAAAAATACAGGAAGGCAATTACAGTTTCTAGATGTGTCATGGAAGTCTTTTATGAATGAGCTTCACCAGATTCTATAGTCTTTACGAGGGTCGTCTTGATGGAGGATTTACCACTCTGCCACTAAAGGAAATAAATAAAACTCTCACTTCAGCCCATGATGCTTTTAGAATTGCTTCAATGTGACAACCAATATCGCTGCACACTAATACTCTATTCTACTTAACTTTTTGTTGTGCTTTGTAGCTGGCAATATTCCTATTAACCAAAAACAAAAGGAGTCCAGTCTACAGATTCATGTGCCCTTTAAACCCATGGCTAAGACTACTTGTTCAGGTTTTTTTCTGCCCATAAATAAATACATATACAGTATTAACATAAATTCTGTATATATGTTTATTTAAATCTCTTGAAAAGCATGCATATAAGAAATTTAAGTTTCCCCTTTTTCAATAACTAGTATAATAAGCAATGGTATTTTTGTATTAAAAAAAAAGAAAAAGACAAAACAAAAGACTGAATATTATATGGTATGCATGACAAAATGGTTTTTTTTAAAAAAGTGTGGTTTCAAAGCAATATGTACCCTAGTGTGTTTGCCATATTCTAGAGTCCAGCTTAAAGTGCACCTGATCTGTAATAGCATTTTGATATTATTTAATCTCTATGTAAAATGTTTTGCATGTATTTATATGGTTCTTGGGATTTTTTTTTTCTTTTTAGTTGTTCAGTAAAGAATAAAGAGAGGGATGGGGTTGACAAAGCTTTTTCTGTAACATTTGAAATTTTAAATATAGATAATGCCCTGGTTGGAAACACTGCAAGGAAATTAAGCTAATATGTAAGGTGCAACAGAAAGGGAAAGGATTTTGAACTAATAAAGCTTGTTTTGCTGTTAAGCAGAATCAGTGCACAAGTGCATTGAAAGAATAAACTGTGCCCACATGTAATTGTGATGTCTTCAATATGTGTCCCATCAGTTTATAAAGTCACTGATCATCTACTGAAGCTGCAATAGTATGAATTATTAAAAAATATTAGTGTGGATCAAATTCAAATTATACACTTTTTAAAAGGTGACATGATTTTTAAAAAATATCTAAGATGGTTAATTGCACAAAATATTATGTGTCTGTTTTGCCATCTCTGAGTAAGGTCCAGAAAAAGCTACCAAATTCTAGCCAAGACTAAGGATCTATGCCAATTACTCATGCAAAAATTGAAATGAATATTTTAAAGTGGAAAAAGCAGAATGCTTTGCAATTCTAATTTTAAATTTAAAAAATGTTGCCAGTTCATATGTTACACTTTTAGCATGAACTCTTTCAATAGCTGAATTTGTTCTTGTTTCTGGCAATATATTATGTGACTATATAATATTATTATATCCAGAGTAGGTATAGATTATTAAACAGAATTACTTCGTGAACATTGTCGTGGCTTTTACTGTCCTGTTGCACAATGTGGTTTTTACTGAGGCAAACCTTCAATGTGATATTTTCTAAAAGTCTAATGTTTATATGAGATCTTCATATTTTGGATAGATAGGTCTTTAGAAAAAGCCCTCATTCAATGAAAAAAATCCCTTCATCAAGCATCCTTAATGGGAAGGACTTGAAGCTGTGTTGTAGGAAAACTGGAGATAAGGTTTGATTAGGAATTCACTCTAGTTCAGTAGTGTAATTCTACAGAAGCAGCTAAATATAAATGGTTTAAAGCATAATTCAAATAATTTATGCTTTAAAGCATAATTTAAATAAATAAAATGTTAAAGATAATAATTAGGAAGGACATAACGAGTATAGACTGAATCCAGTGTATGTAAGAAAAGGGAAATTCTACTTGGAGGAGCACCATATATGAGAAAGTTAAGATTCAGTGAGTTTGCTACTAACCCATCCCCATCAGTATTTTGTCCACATTGATTACACATTTAGAAACTTTTTATTTTTACAAATGGGTTTCATTCAAATAAAGGGCAGGTTATGATGATTTTTTTAAAAAACAGACAAAAACAGTACAAATAGTCATAATACCAACCTAGCAAGGGAACTTGAGGCCCTTTAAAAGTTGAAAAACAGTTTCTGCTTTTGTACTGAATATGGGAAATAAATCTTTCTGAGACTTTAGTGGTTCTTGTCTCACAAACCTTACTCTCTATATACTATTGTTTTATTTAAATATGTGGAGGGAAAAACATTTGCCTAGGTAGGTTTCTCAGGTTCTTTTCTTAAGAAAAAGTCTTCTCCAACCACGCTATATATACAGTATTTGGAAAGCAAAATTGGGGTAAATAATTTAGCATACCATTTGCTTCCTGAGACCACACACTTAGGTGCATGAGCTTAAATATGCTGCTTTTAGTAGAATCCTATGCAATTTGGCTGGTTTTGTTTTGTTTGAGAGGTCTAGGCTGCTCCTTCAACCAAAGCAGCATGATTAAAAACACAACCAGACAAACGAATCAGACAGCACAACACAGAAGTTTGCTCTCTTTGAAACCAGTAAAGGGCAAAGTATTTGTAGAAATTGCAAAACTTTCTAGGGATTTCCAGAGGATCCTGAGTTTCTCCTCATACATGTGATCCACTTCTGATAATCTCTGAATGAAACACCCTTACTAAAATATAGCATGGCATATAAATGTCACCAAAGTTATCTTTGCTTCCAAAAACTTCAAGTAAATTTAAACACGATGTAGCTATTCAAACTGGCTGCATTGCTATGCATTCCTAGGTGCTTCCTATGCTGCCACACAAAACCAAATTAAAATTCAAGTGATAGTCATCTGTTATCTGTAGTGAACGTGTTCTGTGGTTATTCATTTGTATGTCATTGGTGCCCTTTTACATGCCATAGTTTTATCAGATGTGAAAGCTGCCATTTTTGTGCCTTCCAACCAGCCTACCACTGCCTAGGTATGCTGCTGTTTTCTGCAGATTTGATAACACTACCGATTTGCAATTACTGTTCCTTGAAATTAGGGTCCCAACCAATGGTAATACCATATTTGGATTCAAATTTCCCGAGAGAGGGAGAGAAATAGATATACCCTTGAATAACTCCATACAGATAAGTGGATATATATACTAATCAACCTCTTAAGTTTTACACATTTGGTATCATTACAAATACAATTTTGCCTCTACCATTCTATTTTGCTCAAAAATATGGAGATTTTCTGCACTACCAAAGCCTTCTATATCAGAAGAGGCACTCTGAATTACTATTCTGAAGAAATCCGATTTCTAAATTACAAGAAGAGCCTCCAAGAGTTAGCACAAGCAAGGCTGATCATGATTGGAAGGGACAGAGCTACCGCTCTTCCCATTGTGCCTTGTGTAGATGCCATGTATTCCCAAATGCCCGAAAAGGGCCACTGAAAGATAAAGTATATGAAGATAGTTCGCAAATAGACTTCTATTTTAAAAGAATAACAGAGTTGGCCCAACCCCCTGCTCAAATAGGAGAACCTATCTTCTTAAAAACCTCCAATGATGGAGCTCTCACAACTTCTGGAGGAAAGCCATTCCACTGGTTAATTGTTCTAACAGGAAATTTCTCCTTATTTCTAAGTTGTTTCACTCCTTGATTAGTTTCCATCAGAAGACATGCTTTTGAATCGGTTAAATAAACTCTAAAATATTAATGGGGAAAGAAGAGTTATGTGTTTTTTAAAACAATCTTCTGTGAGTTGGTATTGAAAAACAGAAAAATGCAGGCGTGAAAGAAGAGATCTGAGGAGATAGTGAGAAAATACCCAAATCATATTATATGCCAATGTATGTTTTTTGAGTTAATTGGTTTCAACAGACAAAATTAAAACTAAATCCAGTTAAGTAAGACAGCAATATCTTGCACTGACCTTAGTTTTTCTCTTGATCGTCACCGTTGTGGAATATTTTCTTATCTTTTGAGAAAACAAATCATTTCTTGTTTAATTTTTTGGCTAATTTGTTAGCTGCTTTTGGGCCTTGCCATTAGCTAAACTCAACTCTCCAACCTGTTTCATTGATTGGCTGATGTAAATTTTTAGAAAATGGTATTGTAATGCCTTTTTCGGGCTATTAATTTGCCTACTTTTAAACAAAAACTGGACCAAGCGGATCATTGCACTGCCTCAATTTGTGACATGAATGAATAATAATAATTACAAATAAAGGTGAAACTGAGGAAAGCCTCAATAGATATCAGTGCCAAGTATTTGCTGCCTCTGTCCTTGATGTCTGTCATTGTCATTTGGTCCTGCACAGTGTATCACTGACAAATCCAGACTGAACTTGTGAGGCATTCCATTTATGGGCAAGCATTTTTTAATATTGTAAATAAAAAGATACAAAAAATGAAGCCCATTTCTTTCTTACTTCCAACCCCTGCTCTGATGGCTGATTCTTCTCCTTAATCCCCTGTTCCAAAAATGTGCATATTTGTGGTTCATTGTTTGGGATGTGAGAAGTCTCATTCCAAATTACAGGATAGTGCTGTATGTATCTAGTGTGTACTTTCACAATGTTTTCTCGTTTAACCTAGTTTTCTTTAGATGTATTAGACTTCAGGTGGCTCCACTTACTAAATGGGTTCATAAGGAAACCCTTTTATATTGTTGTTTATCTTTCCTGCTACAAGGCAAGAAAAGATTCTTTCCTAGAGTTAAATCAGGAAGAACTATGCTTGAACAATGACCTAGAACTAGATGATACACCAACTCTATGATTGTCAATACAACTGGAGGTGGTCCCACACAGGCTGAAATCGCAGTAAGGAGAATCTTACTTTTGCAACATCAGAAGTGGGAACATAGCCTCAGGGCAGAAATTCATTTAGGTTATGCAGCTACCTTCTGACTTGTTTTCGGGGCCTAGGAGTCTCTGAATTGTTGTGAATCTAATTTAGCTAGTATGTATTTTTTTATCTCAACTTGGGTAAGATGAAATTGCATTCAGTGATAAAATGAACACTTGCCTGAAAATCTACTCTGCTCTCCCTACTACATTTTTAAAAATATGTCCTATAAATTGGCTTGTGCCATGGCTTGTGTCATTCTCCCAGAATAAACCTTTTGAAATTGTAATAGCATAATCTATGCCCAAGCAAGATAGAGGAAACTTCCAGAAGCACTTCAAAAATTACTGCTTGGATGATACTTTTAGGACATTCAGTATTATAATAGTAATTGGGATCGAGACCTCCAATTCTAAGTGACTTAAAAGTACAATGTGCCCATGCCAGCTTAGAACAGCAATGCTGGCGGTTACAATTATAGTCATTAAGTGAATCCCTTATGGTCATTAGGCACATCACATGATCCACCATTTGTGATCTCTTCCCAATTTCCCTGCGGACTGCTTGTTGAGACCTGGCAATGAATATCCATGGAGATGCTGCAATGGCTACAGCTTTGAGGATTGTATGTAAGTCACCTCAGTCAGTACCATCATAATTTCAGTCACCAAATGAATGGTTATCAACTAAGCATTATGGAACAGTTATGGCGAACCTTTGGGCTTGTCAAAAATTCAAGAAATGCCTAACTTGACTGCTGGAGTGTCGCCCCCAACTCCCAAACCATTCTCTATGCCCACCCCCACCCACCCCGGCCATCCTGAAGAGTGGGACTCAGCAGCAGGGCCGAGGCTGGGCCTGAAGTAAAGGCCAAGGCCTCAACTTCAGCTTTAGCACAGCTGCTGGCACTCAAAAGGGCTGCCTTCCATCATCCCCCATGACACAATTGCCCCCACAACCCAGCATTCCCCAGGATCTGCCACAAGTCATTTATCTTCTGTTGAAAGGCCCCTGTAGACAACTCAAGACTGCTCCCAGGTAAGCACAAGGCCGCCTTGGTGCATCTTTGGATTATGCTCTTCCATGGCCTCTGCAGCCTCCAAAAGCATGCCCCATTCTCATGCAATTTTCAGAAACTCTGGAAGCCACGCAAGGGCAGTCCTCACAAGATTTTGGGAGGGCCTGGACGCCTCACAGAAGCACTGTCAGGTCTGCCATCAAAGGCTAGAAAGGGGAAGGGGAGGTTGTAGGATAAATGGGCAATAAAACTTTGTGGGTACATGATGGGAAATAGGGAAGGGGGAATGACAGGTGATGAAGACCAGAGAAGCTCAGCACCAGTTTGCACTGGAATCCAAGGCCAGGCACCCTGAGAAAGAATGCCTATTATCCCAAAACATCTAGGCGAGTTCCGATTGGCTGAAGACGGACTGGTCACCAGGAGAGGGGGAAGGATTGGGATGAGGGGAAGCCTTTCTGTATCTTGGGCATGGAAAATCCAGAGCTAGCCTGACCTACCTGTAGTCAATATCTTTTTCATGAAAGAACCTTTAGCTTCAACCCAGTGGAGTTGGTCTTTCTTTCCTAAGAAAAGATCAGATTGGGGCAGGTCTGACAAGCAGCCCCCATTGCTATGTGGCCTCCTCAGCCTACAAAAATTGTGAGAACGGTGTGCTTTCAAGAACAGTTCCTGAATGTTGGTGAACACTGGTGTATAAAAAAAAGTGTCAAAGATTTGCCGTTTAGATACATCTGTAGCTTAATTCTGGTTTTATCTCTTATAATGCTTGTTCTCCAAGCATGTCACTTAGGGGTTAGGTGCTCCTCTGGTATATAGGAATTGAATTATCCATACCTGTCTTTATTTGTAAATAACTCAAGGCAGAGAACATACCTAATACTTCCTTCCCCACAACAATCCTGTGAGGTGGGTTGGACTGAAAGTAATTGGCCCAAAGTCACCTAGCTGGCTTTCATAGCTAAGGTAGGACTTATGGTCTTTTGGTTTCTGGTACCATTCTCAAGTTGACATTCATGAACTGTTCAGCATAAAACAGAAAATGAAATAATTGACATGAAGCATAGTCAGGCACTTGCAACCTGTACAGAATGTTTCACTAGACAAAAGCTCATACTGAAAAAGTTATAACCGGCTGCAAAATTCAACTGTCTTGAGAAGGCAGCCTCATGAAATATGGTTTACAAGATGAGTAATCAAATTTGCATTCCTGATGCTAAAGTTGTTGAGTAGTTAAATTAAAAACTACATCAAATTAAGAGCTAATAGCATGCCAAAATTACTCCAGTGCATTGTGGCCAGAAAAAGAAATTTAGGTGGTTATATAAAAAAAGAATGTTACATAAACACTTCAACATGTAAAGGGATATTAGTGCTTTTTGAATATCTTTTTATAATTTCAAAAAACATTTTAAACCAGAAGATAAACACTAACACAAATTACTAGAAAATAAGAAAAAAAGTGATCAAAAAGCAAAAAAGGAAAAAAAGGAAAAAAATTAAAAAGTATAAAGTGGCATTCAATATTCACCAGTGTTTTAAATACAAATATATGTTAACCTCTCTCTCTAAAGTTACATTTTACTCTTTCTACAATCTATCCTGTCCAAACACAAGTTTATTTTCATTTTTATACAAAAATATCCTAAGAGACTTTCAGACAGCAATAAATGTAGTCTTTTATCACCTTTTAATTGAATAATCCCATCATTTGCCTGAATATTATCTGGAAATGTTAGATCTTTCTCCCCAATTGATTTATAGGTGAAAGTTGTAATTCATTGGTAAAAAAAATCCCATTGTTATTCAAATGCTGAAGTGCCACTTCACATGAACAGTATTGCATCTTAAATACACAATTCAGTTAAATACTTTGCCTTTTGTTTTTTTATCCAGGCTTCTACAACCACATAGTGTATAAATATGAAATGAGGTTTGGGATTAATGTAAATGAAAAGTACTCAAAACATATGGAATATCTGATACGTGTAAAAGGCAGAACAAGTTTTGGCCTTGAGAGTCTTATAGATTACTGATGCAGGCTGGAAAGTGGAAAGAAGGATATAACCCTCTAATAAATTGTAATTTCCTTTCCGCTTTTGGGGAAAAGAGGTGAAGTTTCAAAACCACAGTGGTAGTTTTTTCTAACTATATATTTTGCACTTACTTCCTAATTATCCCTGCCTCTCCTCCTCTTCTTTTCCCTGTTCCAAATTTTCAGTTCTAAACCTGGAAGTTCTCTTGAATCCTCAGGGACTAAAAATATATACCATATGAAAGAGTCATAGAGCTAGAAAATTTGTATTACGTTAACTATGTTAAAGTTATGCAAATATAGTTGCACATAAAATACTTCGTTTTCACTTAGTAAGCACTTTAAAGTTAAAAATAGATTAACAAGGAGGCTCAAAGTATATCAAGATAGTTATTGCATGGTAGTTTAACACCTGCAGAATAAAATTATCATAGGACACACTTGATATTTTTTGTCACTAGAACTCACCCCATTGTTAGCCTTTATACCACTATGACATTGAACCTTATATCCTGATTAACAAATTATTGTGTTCATGTAACAAGATAACCAAACATGATTTAAGATGACAACTCAGATCAAACTTAATATGCTATGCCAATGCCTGGATTCTCAGCGTTGAACTACAATTTACCAAATTCTAGTTAAGCCTACTCTAGTAAGTTTCACTAACTTATGTTCTCTACCATCATATAGGAACAATACTTACAATTTATTTTTTCTTACATTAGCTTTATTTAAAACACAAATTATTTTGTTGAACTGTTTAAACATCTGATTCAGATACAATGATTTAAATAGAAATATGTACAGGAAAAAATAAAATATGCAAAAACGCAGTGGATTTCTCTTATGCAGAAGAGAGAAAAGGGAAGAAAACCGACCTCAAAGAGATGATTCTGCTTAAGCAAACTACAACACCTGCAACAGCATGGAGAATTCTTTCAGTCTCAGTCAGACACCTGCTAGTTTTCATTTACAATCAGCTAAAAATCCTATCGCCCTTCAGTTTGCTGAAGAATTATTTCCAACGTCTTGATAGCAATGTGAAGACAAACAGTTCATTCAGGATAGCCTTTTTAAAAAATTTAAGTCTTTTTGCGTCTCCCCCCCCCCCTTGCCTATAAAGCTTAATACATTTACATTAGAATCAAGCAACTGCCCCCTCCCCCGTGGCTAGGAATATAAACAAAAAACACATCCTGCATTATTTCTTAACCATAAATTGTAACTGGCAGGGTTGGGATAATTAAACTAATTAAAAACAATAGTATTAAGAATGGAAAAAAATATACAAAATACAAGAATTTCAGGATACACAATATTCCTAAATCTTCATTTGGCCATAGCTGAGTCCATGAGAAAATTCAGAAAATACAATGTAGACATGTGGTTGAAAATAATGTTACGGGGAAAAACAGTTAAGTGAGCAACTAAAGAACCAGAAGCTCAGCAGAGATGTCTCAAGCTGTTTTAAGATGCCAGAGGACAACAGTCCCAAGGTTGTCTTAAAACGCCCCATGTAGCGCCAGCAGTACAGGCCATCATACTCTCCATTCAGGGCAAGTTTTAAATTATCTCTCAAATGAATAAATTAGAAAGGGGGCATGACTTTCCCCATGAATTTCTATATACTAGATGAATGAAAAATGGCACAAGATGAGTGGGATGAGAGTAAAATGTGCTATTCCATCTTCTATATAAATGTTGCTTCATTTTCAACAGTATAAGGATAGAAGTTGCACATGTAGTAGGCTTGGTCCAAGTTTATGTTCCTTTCCTCTGCATTATAAATAGTTCTGCCATTTTTAGGATTTTTTTAAATTTACATAACCCAAGAAGTGACTCCGAACTGCAAAATAACCCCCAAAAGCAAAAGGAAGCTCTGAAATACAGATAAATTATGAGCCACACAGCTGAAAAATAGGTATGACAATTCAGTAAAAAATATAATGATGAAAAAAAGTTCCTATGTAGAATTATGAGTAGGTCTTGGATCTTCTCTAGATGAAATGTTCATGGTTTCATTCTGAAAATATTTAAAATGAGCAATAGTTGGGGCATATCTCTGACCAGCAGGGTAATTCAAAACAAAGTAATGCAGCCAAGTTCTTCAAGCAGTTTCAAGTGTGCTTTAAGACTTGTCATAACTCTTCTAGGAGAAAGGGTAATCCAACAAAACATGTAGTTTTTATTTTCTCTCAAAATGAAGCTGTGTAGCAAATCAACTGTCAATCATCTCAGAGAGTTCAAGCAGGAGCTCATCCTCATCTTTTCCTGGATCTAAATCAATCTCTGCTTCCAATTTGCCTCCTGAGATTTCCCAAATCAGCTTATCAAAGTCATCTTCAACTGAAGACTGAATCTTCCCAGGTCCTGTTGAGCTCAGTCTGCGGGTCTTTGCTCCTGCTGCACGGGAAGAACTTGGGTTTGCGACCTCTGCTTGCAATGTGGAGGTTACCTGGTTTTCAATATACAGTTCAGAGCTTCATGAAGAGGGGAGAAAAAACAAAACAATTATACATCAGCAAGTAGAAAACAGACATCGCGTGTAAACCTTTGCAGGATTTTCAGTTCAAGTAAAATGGTGGGGGGGGGAACCATGGACAAGTTAACCAAGTTAACTATAGGCAGAATAGAGGTGGGTAAAGTACAAATTATGTTGTAGTAATATCTAGGCCATATAATAAGCCCAAGATGTGCAGACTAGCAGGAAAAAATAGGGCCTATATTTCACAACATGCAGTGAGGGATTGGACTTAATCTATATTGCCCTAGAGCCAAACAATGTGTTAAATCTACAAGTAGGTAATTCAGGCTAGAAATCAGGAAGAACGTTCTGGCACATTAGCTGTCAGCTGATACAACGTGCTATCCCGTAAGATAGTGAATTCTGTTTTGATGGAGGTCTTCCAATAGAGGCTAGATCAGTGGTGTCAAACTGGCCGCTTGCGGGCTGGATACATCATGTGCAGGCCATACCCACCCCAGCTCCGCAAAGGGGGAAAATGTCACAAAGCGTCACATGATGGCAATGTGATACCGAGAGTTTGACACCCGTGGGCTAGATGGCACCTGTCAAAAATACTCTACCAAATTCTGCACTGAAGAGGTTTGGACTAGATGATCTCTAATGTATCTTCTAACTCTATAATTCTACAAAACTGCCATTAGATATTACTGCAATGTTGGCAATAAACAGTTCGTATTGATATTTTTCCACTATATAGCCTATTGCTTGCTTTTAAATGTTCATATTAAGTTAAGCAGCATATAATACACAGAAAAGATTAGATTGCTATGGACATATCAGATATAATAAAAACACCATAACATCTTGTAGCACTTTGAAAGTCTAATATAATTACTTTAATATAAGATTTCTTTAGTAGACTTAGTCTTAAGTCTCTACTTCAATATAGAGGGCTAAGCTGCAAAAACAGATACCAAGTGAAACAATTAGGATAGCACAGGATGTCTATTTGTTACTGTACAACTACCAAAATATTACCAATGCTTTAAATCAGAGATAACCTACAAATTATTATAAAAACAAATACATGGTCTGTTCTCTTGGGAATCCTACAAGATTAATTACAAACTGGTTTAGAATATTTCTGCCTTTTAAACTTTGTTATCTGCAAACTCACACTGCATCTTCAAAACTATTAGCAGTTAGATTTCACTTAAGAAATTTGAAGTATCCACATGATGCTTATGATGCTTTCTAATCTACAGCCAGATTTAAAGAAATATTTCAGTTTTGTTTTATCAAGACTAGCCAGAAATCACTAGGAGAAAACCTTATTAGCTAGTTACTTATATTTGAATTTTAAAAATATGTTTATAACATATTAAAGATATTTCTTTGACAAATACTTTCAGAGTTAGCAACCAGGTACTTAAAATTTTTCAGACCTAGTATATTCAAGGTTCTTACAGAATTTTTCCTCAATCTGCTTTCATTGGCTATTACCCAGATAGCTCCTTATAAATGTGAAGAGAAAGAACATAAATATCATATGATCCAATTTATGCCAAGTAAACATACAATTTTGTCCTGCTGCTGTATGAGAAAATTCCAATCATGTGCAAAATGGCTATAAAGAAATAATAATTACCTGTTATAATCCACTTTCTTGGGCATTGTAGTTATATTGTCCTTTGAAAGATCTGGTGAGCTTCCCTAAGGAAAATAAAATAAAAAATAAACTCACTCTCTGAGGTTCACTATCACCAGTTATTTTATTCCTGGACTTCCATTCCATTGTTCTTTTTTATGCAAAATAATTCATATTCTATCAATATAAGTAGAGAACTCTCTGAAGAGGTTTAGATGTAAAAGTCCTCTCTCCTATCTCATAAAATTGCTACTCCTGTAAGATAGAAAAGTATATCTAAAACAATCTAATGCCCTTGTCATCTCAGAATTTGAGTAGCACAATCTAATAGCATGAATCTGTTTTCTTACCAGAGCTGTGTTTTCAGAAGCAAACTTTTTCATTTCTGTGCTTGCAATAGGACTCAGGGGCTTCACTGCAGCCACAGAGGGATGAGTCTCTGATATTTTTCGCTTCAGTGTCTGTTTTGCTGGGGAAATGGGTTTCACTCCAGATGGTTTCACATTCATCTTGGGTTTGGCTGAAATATAAAAGCAATCCAGTGAGAATGGAGTTGTAACCTCTCTGTTAATGTTGCACAAGATGTTTGGAAATACACTTCTTAGAAGAGACCTATTTTAATCAATTCCAAATTTTAATGTGTGGAAATATTTAAAATTACATTTCTATAGTGATGACAAAATACTATCTAGGCATTCTTCCTACACTTCAGTGCTTCCCACACAAAAAGGAATTATTAAAAAAACCCATAGTATTCTGCAGAGAACGTAGGACTAGATATGTCCCATCATAGAGGAAGAGCTTCTCAATGGGAAGAAATAATTGTTGAAACATGAAGTCAGCATTCTGCATGCTGAAAAGGGGAAATTTACATAATAATGATTTCTGAGAACTGAAGATTTTGCTCTTGTTTGTTAATAATATAGATGGTTGAACCCTTGTTCCACCAGTATGGACAAGATGTTACACCTGAAGCAAAATTGAAGTGTGGGAAAGATTGATATCATCCAATATATAATGGCTCTACTTTCCATAGGACTATCAATGCTATTCTTGAAACAATCAGAATAAACTGATCCACAAATAGAAAAAGAAAGTTCCAGATGTATTTTCTAGAACACATTCAACAATACTGTGCTTATTTCCATTGGTCTAACATGGGATAATATCTCCCAAGCAATTGCTGATACCTAACTAGCATTATTATTGATTTTTCCTTAAGTCCAAAACATATTAAGAAGAGAAATTAATTATACAGTTTGCCATTAGCTCAAGAACTTGATAAATATTCAAGTATAACCTGCAGATCAGAAATGTTTTCTATTTAAAAACAAGGATGTATTCTGGAAAGAAAACTTTACCCTTCGTTCTTGGTTCTGCAACCTGCGGGCAAAGCCTCAGGTCTTCTGATGTTCCCTCCTGAGATCTCACCAACAATCTTTTGGAAAGTGGACGCGTTTTCCCCATAGTCACTGAGGATTCAGAATTTGTAGTCACTTCTGGCATTTTTCCTTCTGCTATTTCTTCCCCAACAAGTGGCACAGTCACTTGTAGTTCCTGGGACTTTTCCTCTTGTTGCTGCTGCTTTAACCGTTGCTTCTCCTTCCTTATTTCTTCTAAGCTCTTCACATAGACTTTAGAATGTGAATTACTCACACTATCATTCAAAGGCTGCATAGATACAAAAGAAATACTTTTTAAAAAACAAATGTCCAATAAGCAATTAATGTAAGTCCTTTAAAAATGCACACGCTCTTAACACTCCACCCAAATCAAATATAAATCTTTATTACAGCCTTTAGGGCAGACAGAATCTCTCAATCAACATTTTTGGTGTTATGCACTTTATAAAAAATAAATATATCTTTATATTTATTTAAAAGCACAATCTATGGCAGGGGTGTCAAACTCAAGGCCTGGGAGCTGGAGCTGGCCTGCGGGGTGTTTAGATCTGGCCCACAGGGCCATTCTGGAAACAGAGAAGGATCAGCCCGCAGTGCCTCTGCCAGCGAAAACAGAGCTCAGGAGAGCTGCATGCAGCCGTCCCAAGCTCCATTTTCATTGGCAGAGGATTGCAAGAGGCTGTTGCTGCCAAAAATGGAACTCAGGAGCCCGTCTTCTCTGGCAAAGTGCTCAGGCCACCATAGGCGCCCCTGACATGAGTGACGTTGAGCTGGCCACGCCCACCCCAGCCCCCCAAAGTCAAACACAACCCTGATGCGCCCCTCAATGAAATTGAGTTTGACACTCCTGATCTATGGCGACCATACACATGCTTCGCTTCTTGGTGGAAGCCTAAAGTCAGAAAGAAATGCAACTGAAGTGGAGATCACCTTGATTATAATTTCCTACTTAAATCCTGTTTCCGAAAACAGATGAATGAATACAATTGTATGGAACAAAATTCTATACTAAATATTTGATCTTCATTAAGAGTATTTTTGTTTTATAATCAGTAGTCTATTTCGTAGCATCACCTGCCATCTGTAATATACTGCAACATCAACTGTTGGTTATTATTCATGACAATAGGATCTAATTAACTCAGAAGAGTGAGAATGATATCTCTTTTATCATGTCAAATACCCCCTAATTAAAATACCAGATGATAGTTTCCAAATATACTAAATAAAAGGATGATACAAGGAATGTGCATTCACAAAAGCTATCTTCTTACAGTACAATGAAGCTCACCTTTGTAGCAATCTTTCCTATAGAAATTCTTGGAGAAGACCTCAATACCAGAGTTTTTTCTTCCTTTTCAGGAGCTGTTGACAAATCATAGGGATAATTCTAAAACAACTACAATGCCACCACCAGTTTTCTATAACATTGTTTGGAATAACAATGGCTTATTTAATCATGTGCTGCTGCCGAAGTGGGGGTTATTGAGGGTTTTTTAAAATCATTTTTTCTACATTGTGTGTTGTAGGTAAACTGAGTCGCTATGAGCGAATAGGCAACAATACAAATTTTTAAATAAATATATAAAATAAATAAATAATACATTCCAAATCCAGAACGTAGGGCAGTGCCAAGCTTTGGAATGCTCAAGGGCAGCAGAGGTTCCCCATCCCTCTGGAAAGTTGCAGGTAGTCACAGATATCATTAAAAGCATTATGACCAGTGTTTTCAGCTTTTTGCCTTTTGAAACTTTTCATAGGTGGAAATGGGACACATGGGCTTCTTGGAGGCAAATTGTCATTATTCTCCCTATTAATTCCCATGTTTTAAAAATTGCAAACTGAGCTGCTAAAACTGTACTGTTTTGCTACCAAACTCCCATCCAAGTGTTCTGAAGGTCTGCAAATGAGATATGGGGGCAGGATAGCATGATATGACTTGTAGAGTGCACAGAACTCACTATGGAAGAATAAGCAATTTCTCTGAACTTTTCAACTAACTTTCCCAAGTTTTGAAGCTAAGAAGCATATTATTATTACTTTGGAATTTTTCTACCCACCTTTGTGTAGAGTGCTGAAAGTTTGGGAAACCTTTAGAATTATCCATAATTATAAAACACTATGATATACAAGATGATCTGAGCTTTAAATAGCTGGTATTTATAAAGAGATTCTGAATAGACAATACAAATACAAAACTGAATACTGTCGCAATTGAATCCACTGAACCCCTATTCATTATGTTTATTGGAAAAACTATCTTAAGTATTAGATGTCACTTTTTTAGTATAAATTATTTTAACTTGTTGCTTGATCTCACATTCAGCTTGGGGGTATTTTGGACCACTCTCATCTACTAAATCGCTTCAACTGGATCTTTTGAGGCTGTTTTGTTCAGAATTACTCACTTTAGTCACGTCACATTAGCTCAGGCTTTTGGACTGGTTATTTTGAAATGTGATTTTTTTTTTCAGACATTGTTATAAATTTACTTGCATGTTTAGGAATACATTTGTTTAAGCTGCACTTGATGGATAAATATCCTGATATTTTATGGAATTTGTTGATATAATCCACAGTAGACTATTGTCAATGTTGTTTGCTTAATCAAAATCTGTTAATAAGACTAAAATGAAGCACAGATAATTCTCTCACTTGAGAATTATCTATATTTTATTTATAATTCTGAAGAGATCACAAACCATGATTGCATGGCAATCATTTTTGTATCATATTTAAATCAAATCGTATGATTTTAGTAGTCGGTAATTCTAACCTGTGAGTTTCTCAGAAATGCATTTTTCTAGTATGTTAAACAATCAAAAGCATGACTTTTTAAAAAAGGCAATCATCAGTCTGTTCTGATAATGTAAATGAATATAATAATTTCTAAACATGTAAGTATTTAATTACTATACCTTTACTTCCAGAACTAATGTAAATCATTGTAAATACTTGATTTGCCATTAAAAAAATAAGCAAGGAATTCCAAAATGAAATAGACATGGCTGAGATTGGGAATTGTTAAACCTATTTTGCTTCTCAATTCTGAAATACAGAGATCAATTTGAGGAACAGTAAGAGATAGTTTCCTCCATCTTTATTTTTGGCGTGGTACTAATGCACCTAGCATATAACATGAAGAGTTTTGGTACTGCTGTATTTTAAGATCCAGACCAAGAACATTTATCTGTCTCCAATATAATTGGCTTCAAAATGAAACTGGGAGGAATACATTCTGAATGCATCCTTCAGAAAATTAAAGACTTTAACAAGGAAAGTTTGATACCTATCAGCTTTGTAGCATGCAACATTCTTCTCCCAGTTATAGTTCGTTCAGATTGTATCTGTGTCTTTGATGTGCTCTCCAAACCTTGCTGCATGCGGAGAGCTTTCTCCTGCTTGATTTCCTCCAGAGTTTTGATATGAACTTCCCTAAAGTCCTTGGTTTTGACAGAAGACTCTTCCAATTTTCTTCTTTTAGGTACAGCTGTACTCAGAAGCCCTTCTTTCCGAGGTTCACACTCATGCTTTGGTTTGGACACAGTCTCTGTTTCTGTTTTTATTCGCTCCTCTTCCATTTGCCTTTGTTTTTTCTCAGCCAAGACTTCAGAAAAAGTTTTGATCCGTACTGTAGGAGGTTTTGACACTGGATTGGGATTTGTTATACAAGCCACTTCAACGTTGGGTTTGGGGTGCATTTCTCCCATTTTTTGGCTAGTTTTCTCCAAGCGAATTTCTTCAAGTGTTTTAATATAGATTTCACCAGTTGGTTTGGCAAAAGACTCTGAATCACCAAAACAAATAATTAAAACTTATACCAGGACTATATTTTAAAATTTCATTAAGATCTCACACTTTTTGCCCACTAGAATGTTGTATTCCCCAATTGTTTTACTGAGACAAAAACAAACACACAAACTATTGTTATTCTCTGTTTCACTTTAAGTGGCTTGTACTTCAAAAATATAAATAGTTCTTTTCAATCTTTGCCAGATTTTCATATAATGACCTAAAAGCTCAAAATAAAAAATTGTAAGATATTAAATATATGATAAAAATAGATGAACAAAATTCTTCATTTCAGCAAACACGAGAACTTCTAAAATTTAAAAAAGGAATTTATAATACAATGCTGATTATTTTTTAAAAAGTTTAGGTTATAGTTCAGTATTCAATTAGCAAGGCATAACATTCAGTCCAATAAAGATGCTTTTTAAACAAATTTGCAGAGGATTCAGCTGAGCAAAAATTCACTATAGAAAGAAAGCTTTATTGTATTAAAATAAAATTAGTACCTGTTTCCATATTGCTTTGGTCAGATGCTAATCCCAATCTTTCTTTAAGAGCCCTGGGAGCTTGAACTGAAATCAAGAATGATAAAGTCAGTGATAGTCACTTTTCATTTAAAAAAAGTTTTTGGGAATCAAACACATGGCTTCTTGCAATTTATACGCACCATTACATGCATGATGCATTTACCTATTACCCCACCTAATATATTGAAGCCTCAAGTACACATACTACTACAATAAATACGATATATAACTTTGGAGTTGTTTTAGAGAAAATGTGACTATTTTCTGGAAGGCTATAGAAACATATTTTCTCCATAAAATTAAAACATTAAATTTTATCCATGAAAAATGGTCAGAGACTTTCTCATTATGTAATTATGATTTACTTATTCTAAGAATAAAAGTAGCCTTATGAAGATGTTGAAGTTATTTAGTTACTGTAGGAAAAGCTAAAAGGGGAGCATAACACAACTCTCTTCACCAAACATATATTAAATAAACAAACATTAAGAACACTTCTAAGGCTGAATATTATCTATTTCTAAATATAATCTATACCTGAAATAAATAAAATATATTTTATTGATGGAACAGCCATACCTCTTTTTGGTGTTTTTTCTGTATTTTCAAGTGAATCCATTTTTTTCCCTAGTCTATCAGCAAGGCTACGTTTTAATGGAATCCCAGTCTCGGTGCCTTATGGTAAAAAGATAATAAATTTATGTTTCATTTTTTAAAAATTCAAATATTTCTACTACTTATGCATTATACACATGTGTCACTACTTGAAATTATAGGCCTTATTTACTTAGACGATACTGTAATCTGCCTTCAGTAGGTATGAGCCCAGTGAGCTTTCATATAAAAATAATTTCATAATGCAATAAATAGATTAACTGAATATTTCTAGTCAAGATAGAATAAAAATCCATTGTGCTTTTAATAAGTGCTAGAAATCAAGGGAATACATTCCTTGAACTTTGTACATCTATGCATAGATAAAAAGAAACATGGTTGTGATATACAACAAATGATGGTATGGGGAACAGACCTTCAGTACAGGTAGAGCTCAACTTAGAACAGTTCATTCAGTGACCATTCAAAGTTACACCACTGAAAAAAGTGACATGAATATTTTTCACGCTTATGACCGCGCTATAGCAAGGGTATCAAACTCAAGGTCTGGGGGCCGGATCTGGCCCGGCAGGTTGCTTAGATCTGGCCCATGGGACTGCCTTGGAACCAGTGAAGGACTGGCCCGCGGTGCCTCTGCCCGTGAAAATGGAGCTCAAGAGGGCTGCAGGTGGCCCTCCGAGCTCTGTTTTTGCTGGCAGAGGGTTGGAAGAGGCAGTCGCAGGCAAAAACGGAGCTCAGGAGCCTGTTTTTGCTGGCAAAGCACTCAGGCCACCACAGGCGCCACCGACACAAATGACATTGAGCTGGCCATGCCCACCCTGGCCACAACCTCCACCCCACTCCAAGGTCAAACACAACCCTGACCATGCAGCCCTCAATGAAATAGAGTCTGACACCCCTGCGCTATAGCATCCCCATGAGCATGTGATCAAAATTCAAATGCTTGGCAACTCACTCACATTTATGACAGTTGATGTCCCTGGGTCATGTCCCTTTTGTGATCTTCTGACAATGTTAATGGGGAAGCCAGATTCACTTAACAACCATGTCACTAACCTAACATCTGCATTGATTCACTTAACAACTATGGTAAGAAAAGTCATACAATGAGGCAAAATTTACTTAACAAATGTGTCACATAACAACAGAACTATTTGGCTCAATTGTGGTGATAAGTCAAGGATTACCTGTAGTACCTTCCCCCCCCACCCCATCTGATTACTTACCCATGGGAGACTTCCTTTTCCCCAATCTCTCTGCAAGTGTTAATCGAATCCGAGGCTCTTCACCTAGGACAGCAAAATACAAGAAAAGTTAACTTTTGCTTTCCTACTACAAACATAAACAACTATTACCCCTTCAGTTACGTGGAATATGAATTAAGATAGCACTTATCTATTCATGGCAATGCTAGTGTGCATTAAAGAGTGAAGTTAGAAGAGTATTAAACCTAAAAAATAACCAAGTTATTTTCTCCATAGAAGTCATTCTTAAGAAAAAAGTTAATTACAACATGATAGTTTTGCAGCCATATTTCTGTTAAATGACCATTTTATAACTAATGAATTTCAGACCTGTGTCTTGTTGCAAATCTTAAATACTGTCAAATGAAGTTCCATCATGCCTAAATTCCTATATAAAAATATAATCCTGATCAACAACAAAAAACAGAACTCTAGTTACTCCACAGCTAGAAGAAATAACATAAAAATAAATGAAATAAAAAGTAAAGACAGATTTACCTTGCCTCGTAGATAAAGTTACAGTTCTGACCACAGTCCGTGCATTTTCTTTCTCTGGGCCTGGTTGAGCAATCATTTCAGAAGGAATATCTGAAGAAAGCAAAAAGAAAGCTATGTTAACTTTCACAGCAGCCATTATTTATGATTTGAAGCTTATGTTTACATGCTTTGTAAGAAAGCAACCCAACTAAAAGCCAGTTTGGTCTAATGGTTAAGACACCAGGCTAGAAATCAGGAAAGCGAGTTATAGTCCCTCCTTAAGCATGAAAGCCAGCTGGATGACTTTGGGTCAATCACTCTTTCTTAGCCCAACTCACCTCATAAGTTAACAGTTGTGGGGAAAATAGGAGGAGGAAGAAGTATTAGATATCTTCTCCACCTTGAATTATTTATTAAAACAATAAAGGTGGCATAAAAAACCCTTTAAAAACCTGAATTCAATGAAGTTCATTTAGAACAAATTGTACTTGTAGTTGATAGATATCATTTCTAGACCTCAATGCTGCATATATCATGGAATAAAAAAATACCAGGTGAGCTTGCAGCTGAAACAGAACTTTATATTCTTAGTCACTAAACCTATAAATCATTACAACTAAAGGAAAACATAACACTACAGTCATGTTCTTCATTTCCTTAAGCAATAACCAAGTAAGGTATTAGCGTTATCAGATTATACAGGAGCAACACCTTAAAACAAAATTAAGTAAATCTTCACAATGGACTTCTTAACAATGCACAAATACACTCTCCAAGAAATTATCAAAGAGGACATGATAGGACACTATGAAAGAAATAAAATCAACAAACCATTTTGCTGCTTTGATTTTTCTTTCATTTTCTTTGATTTTATTTCTTCAAGAGTTTTGATCCCAAAATTCAAACTTTTATCTGAAAAATGCAGATATCTGATTGAAAAATATATATAAAATTCCAGAAACCAAACATTTACAATATTTGAAAAGATAGTAAATTTTCCACATTTAAGATAATTGAGGAAATTAATATAATCTTAATACTACATACTTTGTTCTTACCTTTATCTTGATTTGCACTAGTCACTGATTTCCGAGTAGAAATTATCCTCAATCCATTTGGACTTTCTGTAGGTGGTTGTTGAGTAGGCATTTTAGATTCATCACCTTCTTCAGATAATTGATCTGAAAGGAACACTAATGTTACTTTAATTCTAATCCTGTTTATTCATCTAATCCTGTTTATTTATCTTAAATCAGTAGAGCGGCAGGTTGCCCATCTTAATGTGTCTAGGAGTGCTACTCATTTACTATCCATAATTTCTTAACAGAAATGATATGTAGCCCTAACACTAAACTAAATGTTTAATGTATACTTTCTATATTCGTGTTAGGGTGGTTATTGAGCTATATCTTGGGGTTTTATACTAAATCATGAGACTATATAACTTACTATTAAGTATGTAATTTCGGACTGCATTTAAAAAGATATATTTAAACCTTCTTTAGAAGAATGGCATGCTATAAAAATAGGTATCAATAAAGTAACTACATTTAAAAAACAAGTCTGATACTGAATTTATGAATCATTAATGGACTTAAATTTTGTGCATGGGTTTACACTATATTCCTGATTTTTTTATATTGATTTCCTTTGCTAATTCTTAATTTTTGACAATGGTTTTAAAGTGATAATTTGATTTGATTACTATAAGATCACACTGATATGCAATTCTAATCTAATACCATTACTAAAAAAATTTTATTGAACTTTATATAGTTTCCAATTCTTTTCTTTAAAAAAAAAGGAAACTGCTAAGTATTCAGTATTCCATGAAGGTTTCCTGAATCTACATATATTAACTGATTATTATTGCAACAATAATAGATTCCAGTTTTCATATGAAAATACAGAACAAGTGGCTGAGATTCATGTTTAACTTTACATGCAAATGCATCTCACTTTTTAAGTGGTTTGGGGGGTGGGAATATTATCCTATTGCCTAGTGAACAATGAAAGAAGTACCTAATCCTCAGCAAGGAATCTCATCAACCAGATTTAAACTGATCCAAATCCTTGAGCTGTTAAAGAAGTATTGTTGCCTTTTTAACAGAAGCAGAGACAATGATATCTGGCAATAACTGAGATGCCATTTGCCAATGTGCTATAGCGCTCACCTGGGCTTTACATCTTTTCTCCTCCTCAACTTTAACAATGCAGTTCAATTACAGAAGTGACTGAATATATATGATGACATGGAGAGCAAAAACAACACCTTGTCCGGATGAAGCTTCAACTGAAGCAACCATTAAAATCATTTGGGAATTCTAGCTAACATCTCTGGATTTCCTCTTTGTAAAAGGTAAGATCTTTCTTAAATTAAAAGTTTGATTTGATGAGTTTGGGGAAAAATTGGTCCAAGCAAATGGTCCAAGAAAACAGTATCTTCATTTTAGATTTTATCTGCTATACTCATTCTCCCTTTAATTTAAAATTATGTTAGGTTGAACAAATCACACTTAGCTCACCATCATCATCTTCATCATCATCTGCTGCATTAATAACAACCGGTGGATGTGTGGGACTGGGAACATTTTCAGAATTTTCCACCTTCATCACCCCACGCAACTGAGGTGATGGGTTGGACTGAACAGAAAGCTTGCTTTGTTGCGCAGTCTTCATCTCCTCTTCTGGAGACTCAGGCACATTTAGAAGAACAGCTTAAACAATAAAACAACATCAAATAATCCATTTAGTTTGGTCAAACTCATTCATTAAAATCTAGTAGTAATAACTGACATAAATTCCATGATTTCAACAATTCTACTCAAAGAATAGCAATGCTTGAATTCAGTCCATTACTCATAATATATACAGGGTCAATATATACAGCTCATGACAGTCATTTAATGATCATTCAAAGTTACAATGGACTCAGAAACAATGCTTTATGGCCTGTGTAAAGCACTTCTGGCCATTGTAGAACATTGTACCACCCTTCTACAGTTAGGCATTTGGCCAATGGGTCACAAGTTGCCAAGCATCCTGTAATAATGTGATGGCCATTTGCAATCTTCTGTGCCAACTTTCCCAGAAAGTTAATGGGAAGCCAGCAGATCGTTGCAAGTCTTACCCCTTCTTAAAGTTTGAACTTTTATAGCTAATGTTTATATTTTAACATTTTATGTACACCTCAAATATTCCTTCTTTGAGGCAGATGGTGGTTCAGAAATGTGAAAAATAAATTAAAAATAAAATACAATAAAGAAAATGGTAGTAGTATAAACTAGATGCAATTACATTTTCTTTTCTTGTCCACCCATTTTGCTTACTACTTACTTCTTACCCTGCTTACTACTTCTTATTCTTGTACTGCATTTTGTAAAAAGAAGTTTACTCCCAAAGAGACTGGCATAGACGTTTTCTTTGTGTATATGATACGAAGTTATCTGAATCAAATATGAAACTTTCAACAGAAAAAGTTCAACTGATGAAGTTGCTGTCACATAAGCAACAAAAGCCTGGATCTCTTCCACTGGATTATAAACCATTTGTTAACGTGGAACCGGTAATTATTATGAATAATAACTGATTCGGTGGGGTGTTATACTCTTAATGAGTCCAGAATAGTTTTTGTTATTATATTTATAGAGGTATACACACTCTGACAATAGAATGCAAGAAAGTTTGTATTTAGATTAAATTACCACAATTTTCCAAGGAAAAACATTTAACTTACTCTTGCTTGGAGGTAAGAAAAGCCCATCCACAAAACGTCCCTTGTTGTGGTGAAAAGCACAGTTCAATTTCTGACAGCCCAATGGCTGATTCTCCCAATAGCATGGTATTTCGCTGCGCTTTTTCTGAAGACAAATCACAAGTTATTAATTATATACAGAAGAGCCTGCAAGTTTACAGAATTAAGAAAGTAGCACATGCAGTGCATTTAGATGATACAAAAAACCCCAATACAAGTAATACTGTTTACCAGAAGGCACATTGCTTGTTGCTAGTGGATACATAGGGAAAACTGAGTAGCTATGAGTTTTGGATCTACATCTTGGAACTGGAGATTTTCAACTTTGGCTCTGAATAGTACTATGTAATTCCACACAGACATATAACAGAATTTGGGGATTCTCCTGGATATACAGAATTATACAAAGAGCATGTGGCAACTATTATACTACTTTGCATTATCCACTTTTTCTGCCTGTTGTCACTGCCTTAGTCACCTCTAGACTAGATTATTATAATACACTATTTGCTTATTTATTTATTTGTGTATTTATTTTTATTTCATCCAATCTTTATTATTTTTATAAATAACTATAAAAAGTTATTTTTGGAAGTCACTAGACATATAAAGGACCCCACAAAAAGGTGCCAGGCTTTGAACTACCATGTCAGCAATGGACAATCTTGAATAGGATTCACACGTGACACAGGATCTACCAGGTCTCTCTGTATAAACGAGGCATAGTAACTTCCCCTCAGTGTGACTGTGGAGTCCTTGTCAAACTGTAGATTACATTGTGACCAACTGTAAGCTGAGGGCACATACTAGTCCAGTATCTGATTTTTTTAATATAAATGATGCTGTGCTTCAGTGGTTAAATGGCCCAGACATTCATATTTGAACATAGATGTTTTTAACATTTCTATTTTATGGTGTTGTATTAATCTAGGTGAAATGTTAATATATATTGCTAGTCCATGTATTATGTGACATACTAAATAATAAATAAATTTATAAAGCCCTTAAGGCAGTGAACATTCTAATACTTCTACCTCCTCCAGTTTTCCTCATATTAACTCTGTCAGTTGAGTTGGGTTGAGAGATCGGTTTGTCCTTGAAAACTGGAAGCTGCAGTTGGTCCAGAATGCAATGGTGCAGATAGTTATGGGCACACCTCAGTATGCACACATAACAAGATGCACTAGTTCCTCATCAGCTTCTATATTATCTATGGATAAGCTCCCTAATAATATCTGCATATCTTACTCACTCTAATACAGTGAACATGCTTTAAGTCCTTTTCTTAAAATAGTGCCAAGTAAAGGGGGTCAGTAATAATGCCTATAATAATCATCCCTAAATTTTCAATTGAACCTGACCCTGCTAATCTTTAGAAAGGCATTAAAAGCATGGTTATTCCTCCAAGCACTGGGGCTGATTAAGATGAATACGTTTCCATTAGGAGTATGTATGTATGTATGTATGTATGTGAATCAAGAAGCCAATTATTATTGTTCATTGTTTACTGGGGAGATGAGGTATTTCTTATAAGCTTCCCTGAGTCATGCTTTTCAAGTTGGACAGCCATATAAACAAGGCTTGAGCCATTCAGGCAACATCATCAAGATGCTATCAGTTAACATGGTCTTTACAAAAAAGCATCTGAATATGACATTTTAACACAAAATATCATTATATTACCTAATTTTTTAAAAAAATCAGTTTCCTTCTGCGCATTCAGACAATTTTAATCAAAACAGGCAGACTCAGAGGACAGCATGTGGTAGTCCTCTAAGGATGTTCAGGTCACAACCACTCACATCTCCTAAAAGTATATCACAATTCAGAAGTTTTTTTGAATGGAGATGTAACAAGGAAAATACTCAACACACACAAACATACAGTATATAAATACAGCTGCTTATACTGGATCGTATATAACCATTTTCACCTCTCTCTTAATAGATTAGAATTTATGTCAGTTTGCCAAATAAAAATTTTTCTAGGTCTAATTATCAACTACATCCTCCAATATAATTAGGCACTTAACATTTCAAGGAATATGATTTTTTTTAACTTTGAAAAATCAATAAATCTTGTACAAATGGAAATATACAATTTTTAGTATCTTTTACAAATAAATCTGTTATCTAATATAACAAATTTGTTATAACTTATAAATTACATTGCTTTATTTCAAATATATACTCTCTATATATTTATTTCAAATATATGTATAAAATTTGTTTATAAAAAACAGAAAAAATACAGCTCAGATAAAATTTTAAATGTATTGATAAATTAATTTTAAAAGATTTTTTAAAATCTTGTGATGAATGAAAAAGAAGAAACTAAGGGTCAAAATATGGCATCTGATGGACTGTCTAATTGGTCTTACATTCCAGACCTCCTTTGCTGAAACTTTTGAAGGTCTGCTTGTATTGTGATAAGCTCTGATACTCCTTCATAGTTCATCTTTTTTCCAAATATAGACCATTTTCATCATTTAACTATTCTACATTTACACTTTTAATTTTTCTCTCCATGAAGGAGAGAAAACAATGGGAAAACAGGCAGAATGATTTACAGACCTTTGCCCCTGTAAATACAATAATTGTATATTATAAACCTGCAATTAAAGAGATTATAGCCTCTTCCAATTTAGACTGTTAAAACATTTAACAAAGACACTTTTCCAACTTCAAATTTATCTAGAAAGATGTTTTGAAGCTCTCATCCATGGTAAACTGTAACATTATATGTACATGTGCAACATCATTTATACTGATGGTCTGGGAATACCCTATGAAAGGCCATAACTAAAGTACTGTAATCTATTTACTTTCAACAGTGTATATTTTCCTCCCAAATGCCATCAGATTAAATGTACTGCTTTATTGTGCTGTTATATAAATACTTACATCAATCTCCATGTGTCTAAAGCGGCAAATACTCCTGAAGCATCGACCTTCCTGCCAGAGCACACACACAGTTTCGTTTCCAAGGGCAGCTTCACAGTGACGAAAAGGGCAATTATCCCCCTATGGTAGAGAGTGAATGATTAAAATCTATGGGTGAAATCCAACACCATGTAAATAGACTTATATCATAGAACCTCTCCCTCAGCTGATCTCCCTGCAAGACTTACACTGACTTTGAAATAAAACACTCAGATGTGAGTAAGGAATTTCAGCTTTAATTCAAGGAATTTGAGAAACGTGCCAATACTTCACAAGCTTCACTTTGCTTACATCTTGAGTGTTTCATTTCAAATGGTAGTGCCGAGGCCAAATGCCCAAAAGCTTATCATTGTCTCAATATATACAAACCTGACACTCTCTGTGTGTGTGTGCATGTACAAACACGTGTGCGTGCATGTGCGTGCGTGAGAGAGAGAACATGCTATGTACTTATAAAAATGAAAAAACAAGGAAAAAAATTATAGGCTATATAAAACAAGAAAAAAGCAAATGTATTCTAAATGGCGAGAATAGAATTTTCCTGACTAGCAAATGAATTATTTAAATTATTATTATGATTGAAATAATCAAGTTAAATCAAATTAAACCTATCCCGTTGAGCAATCAAATATACATAGTTACATTTAAGAACAATATTCTTTATAGCATAAAGACAGCTATAATAATACGATGGATGGCAATAATTTCACATCCTAAGAGTCATGATTCAAAATGTGAAAAGCAACTCCAGCCTTCAATGCTGCAATGAATAGCAACCATTCATTCATTTTTATGGGAGAATGGTTTACTGAATTGGCTATAAAGTTCCATTTTGTACTACAAAAGCATGCAATGTGAAAGTGGGTATCTCCACTTCACTTGCTCCAGAAGCAGGGTTAGTTCTTCTGATGCCCCTTCCCCAGTTCTGGAATGGCAAACTAAAAAAATAAAGAACAATTGAGAAATTTTCCATTTATCCATACTGTGGATATATGAATATATAAACGGTTTAGAAAATAATGTAATACTTGTATGAGTATAAAGAATCCAAAAAAGCTGATCGTTGTATCAGCTCTTTACTGGTACTATGTGAATAACCATACCCAAAATATAATAAATGAGACATGTCAATTATATATTTGCCTAATAAAATCAAATTCTATTAACTTATTTTTGCATTTTCTATACATAAACATTGTACATATCTTCCATAACTACATCAAGAAATTCACTAAAATTAATAGGCAGGTTGTTAAATTGAATATGGTGCAGTTATTGAGTTACACACGAAATAGCACAAATATGCTTAGAAGGCTCAACTGCCATGAAAAATACCTTTGTACAAGTAGAGTAGAAATAGAAATAACAATCATCTCCTTTGTTAGACATATTCAAATTAATTTCCTTCAAGCTTAAAGTGTAGAAACAAATGGCTGAATACAATTTTGTTATTTTTCAGTGATGGTTAATCACAACGATGTTTAAAATGGCACAATCTTCTATACCAGATTTAGCAATATCTTCTTTAAAATATAATCCTGAAAAATAAATGAACAAAATATTTAAATATCACTGAAAATATTACATTTGATAGAAACAACAGTTTCCATAAAAATTTAACTCTAATATGTACTTTTTTTTTTTTTTTTTAAAGGAGTCAAGTTATTACATGCATTTATAGGTATACATAAATTTAAAGCTTATCTTGGGGAAGATATGAAGAAGCTACTAAGGGAGACTTGGAGAAAAGATTACACAGTTCAGAGATGGAAGGAAACATGAGAAACTCAAAATAACCCAATTTTAATTTTGTTGAATATGATTGGGCAGAGATAGATTTGCAAGATGCCTTACAACTGTGATGAAGCATTCCTGGAACCCTTATGGTATCTACTTGACTGCTTATTTTGAAGGACTGACGTATACACCCTAATTATAAACTCTAAATGACTTACAATGTGATAATACCCAAATGCAAGTCAGGATACTAATTATCACCTATACAAGTAGCTCTTAGCTTACAACCTTAACTGAGCTTGAAATTAGAGTTGTAAATTGTGTTGGTCGCTAAGCAATTCATGTGACATCTTCATGTGGCAGTTGTTAAGCGTATGTGGTGATTGTAAAGTGAACACTGGTTGCTAAGTGAATTCATTGTCTGCAAATATAAATATGGTCATGTGAAAAAATAAAATTACTGTAAATTACTGCTAGACACATCCAAAATATAATCCCAAGATGGGAGAGGTATGGCTGTTGAAATTTCAAACCTGGATCGTAAGTTAGCCTGGGGAGATCTGTCATAACTTTGAACAATTGATAAATGACAGTCAAAGACTACTTGTAAAACCTGTCATGTGATAGGATTGGTTTATTTGTGAGATGACCTTGTTGCGTCTGCTTGTTTCATAAGGTCCAGCAGGATGAGCATTCTCCGGGAGCCTTCAATTAAGCAATATCATCTAAAGCCTCTTGTTATACCACCTACCCTATGGAACAAGTAAGCTGTCAAGCCCAAAATTGATGGGCAGGCTGTCAAGCTCAAAATTGACATATGTGTAGCCATTTTAGTTAGGCTCAGTATATATTTTCTTACTTTCTCTGTGGCAGTCATGGGGGGAAGAGTTTTGGGCTTGTCACATTCCTAAAGGGGGAGGAGTAGAGATAGAGTTGTTTAGACTAGGTATTCTTCTTCCCATGGAAAAACAAGCTGTTCTGCTCAGGCCCCTTGAGGTGGAGATTTATGACATCAAGCAATGTTGAATTACTTCTATTGGAGAATGTGACTTTTGGGGGTTGTTTCTAACTTCTAATATTGTGGGGTAATTCTAGGTTGTGTCAGATCCGGAATTACCATGGACTTTGACAATTTGATGCTTTCCTAAATAAAAGAAATTGTCTTGGAAGATGGACTTTGTTTTATTCTTTTAAAATGGATTTCATCACTTGGAAACCTGACACAAGCTTGCTTAGTGTTCTGTAAGGCATTAAGGACTGGCTCTTTGCCAACAGTAGTCCTCTTATGAATAATGAATGCATTTAATGTATTATTTGGGCTTTGCTCCATGTTTTCCAATTTGTCTTTAATATCATTGTAGCTATTTTATTGACTGTTGGCAGCTCAGAGTCATGTCAACTTCTAGCCATATAAATCTATACAATAATGAAATATTTTAAAATAATATGGTTAAGAAAAATATTATTAAAACACAGATTTAATTCAACAATACAGACAAATACCTTGGTATGACCAGCAAATACTATCTTCAAATACTTCCAGTTATTTTTCTCCTGTAGGTCGAATCAACACTCAATCCATAAAATAGCAACGGGATATAAAGACTTTTCTTCCTCACATTGCCAAGGACACAAATTCAAAATTCAGATAAAGGGTGAATTAAAACTATTGGAGTAAGTAAGTCCATTTGAATAGCCAGGGAAGCTGGAAACAGTGGTTAATTGCCTCTTCAAAATAAATAGTTCATTTAAAGAGGAACTTCTGTTTCAAACCAGCTGCAAAGAAGATCCGTCTTCCACAGCCAGTATTTTTTTTTTTTTAATTAAAACACAATGTTTCAATTTCTGGTCTTCAAGATCTCTTCACCTATTGAAAAAAAGAAAAAAATCTTCCCCGATCTTTATTAACTGCATAGTAAAAATAAAGTAGCTATAAAGTCAGACATGTATATATACACATAAAGTTGCATATTATGTGTTTATACATGTAAAAATGTATAAGCAAGAGCAGTATTAATAATCTGCATTTCAACAAATCAAACTTCCATGTAATTAAATTTTTAGATGAATAGTTTATCATACAGTACAAACATAGATATATTCATACTGCATGTCAAACCTTACACATACATGTGCCTTGTGACATTTTTTAGATTAAATGGGTAAATCTTTTGTATAGTATTATTTGCAACTGCAAAGCAATATATTTGGCAGAATAACATTAAGAAAATAAAGCATTTTATGTCCAACCTATTCATTTTTTAAAATAATTTTATTTTGTTCTCTTGTTGTCAGTGCAACATTTCCCTGAAAAAAAAAGGTGCTGCTTGTCAGCAATAAGATTGAAAGGATGTCACTGAGCTAACATCCTAACAATGTTTTTACAGTCACACAGCAAATAAGGTGTGTAAATCAGAATTTATTCTTTCCAAATATAATTTTGCATATGTAATTTTAATGAATGTAGAATAGTAAGTTGGAAAGTTTTACTCCAGACAAAATAATTTGCCTTTGGATATTCATAGTATGATATTTCCCAAACTCTAAAAGAGTAGAGAGATGTTTTTTTTAAAAAATATATTGTCTGTGTTGAAATTCAACAATAGGAATTTAAGAAACAGCATCTGTAAAATTGCTTTTATTTGCATTTCTTTTTTTATGCATAAACTTGTCTTGCTGCCACAAAATGATACTAGTGCTCCAGATGGAAAAATCTGAATGAAGGAAAAAGGTTCTGTCAAATACATATTATTATTTCCATAATCATTCTATTTTAAACAAAATATGTATATTTTAAAAACAATAGATTTAACTGTCTTTAAATGGTAGAAAAAGTTGTCCTTTAGGTGCACAAAGTTTAGGTGCACCATAACAAGCAAAATTAAAATAATGTTAGGAGCATTTCATTTTCATATACACTGAATAATTTGGGGAAAAGTATTATGGTACCTGTCCATTTAGTACATATCCCAAGCATTTTGCATACCATTTGTTGCAAGTAATTTAAGAACATACCATCTTTCCAACTTGGGTAACAAATGACTTGTTACCCTGTGGATTAAGCCAGAACTATTGAACTGTTCCACTGCTGCATTAAAATCCAACTGTTTTAAAGAATGTGAAAACAATTATTTCTTACTGCAAAAATAAATTTGTATCTTTGACAGCAGGGAAGTCAATTTCTGTATTTAAATTGCATTTTTAGCTGAGTAATTTTTAGTTTGGTTGGTACAAAATCCTAAAGAGGGCCATTAACATTCTGGAGGGGAACTGCTATTTCTAGCAATATAAAGTGAATAATCTAAAGGCAGAAGCTCCCAGATTCTAATTTTTCTGCTCATTTCAAGTTGCTCCACTTGACTATGAAATATCAACAATTCGCATGTCCAGATGACACAGGATGTTTCTACCGTATGTTTACACAATTCTTTTAAGCTGTAAATATCGAAGAGAATGCAGAGCTGAGGAGTAGAATTAAGCATGTCATCAGCTTAAAGACGTTGCCACTAACGGGCAAAGTCCAATCCCTCTTGAATTCCATTGACCATTATCTGATGTCAATTTAATACCGACTTTAGTTGATTAGATTCTTTTATATAGGCTTGAGCCTATAGGCTTGACATACAGTCCTGATCCTTTGTGCCTAACAGTAAATACTCTATAGGGAATATTTTCAGCTACATTTTAAACTGTTCAAAACAGCCAAAATTAGAGCTATCATTCTGCTAATTAACTTGCCATTTCACAGCACTAATTTACATAACTGCCAAAGCTCTAAGTAAAATTTAATCAAAACTGTGAAAATATGATCTGACCTTATGTCTTGAGTGGAGAGATTTGTTGTCTTGAAAGTACTGGTATCCAATTTCTCAGCTATCCCTACCAATATACAGGACAGTATTTATCAATGTACGTTGTTTTTATGCTTTCATAATTGTTGCAACTAATTAAGTCTTTCCTCAACTACTACACTTGCCAAGGGCAGCAAATCTTAACAGCGTTTTGATGGGGGAGATTTGATTACAATAATGTTTGCATATATCAAACACTACCTTTAATGTATGCTTGCTATGAAAGCCTTTTTGCAGGTCTTGGAGAGAAGAGCAATAGACTGATCAGAAATATCTAACCATCTCAAAGGGCTGAACAAGGCACATATACAAGGATAGCACTAATCACTTATAAATTCCTTTTGTATTCTACCTTTTTATTCTATAAGAGACAGCCTATAAAATAGGCATATTTTCACACTTAAGCTTTCAACTGATGAAATAACATAGAAAATAAAATGTAAATTCAGAATAAAATGAAGATTCTTTGCCCTGTAACTACATTACAGGCTTTTTTAATCACTACCAATACAAATATTAAGTAAAGTCCACTCTGGCTCACAAAAGTGCTTGATATTACATATTAGATAGCTTTTAAAATTCTATAGAATCTGCCTTATATGTTACAGCACACTGCCCTTCTAGAATGCAATTCCTGTTGATGGTGTGTTCTATATGCCAGGAAAACAGGCAAAATAGGTCATCATGTTCAGGACTACACATTTTGCTTGTTTTGTCACAGCTTTTTTGTTTAGACAGAGGCTATCCAGTGATAGCCAGCATTTTCTTTTTATATACCCTTGTAGCTAATCTAATGCCACTGTGCACTTGCTAACTAAATATCAAGCATGGAAAACTTCATTTAAGAAACAAGCAATTCCAACAATACGATTTTACCATATTACTTCTTATAAAAGAAAGTTCTTCCAGATATGGCCCAGCTTTCTTTTATAACAGCTCTGCAGTCTCCAGTTTGCTGCACTTACACTGCTACAGAAGGCAATGATAAAATACTTTCACACAGTCGGCAAAAAACCCTGCATGGATCTGTTCCTGTAGCTACCAGGCATCAAACTCACATTGAGGAAGAAAGTCAGATAAAGTGTACTACTCTGTTTATGCATATGTGGGTGGTGGGTTGAAAGGATTTTTAAAAAAAAATAATACAGGAAATAAATCTGTTAACCTACAGCAAACGCTAATAAAATACTACTTTCTATTAGATTAATAAACTGTTTTGGGTCTCTTTGTGCCAAACTGCATTCTAGAAAGAACTGCATTTTCTAATCCACTATAATTACTGTATCCTAGAAAAACTTTTTTTTTAAAAAAACAAACCTAGTAGGTATAATACTAATTACTTCCTAAATGCAAAACATCTTGCAATCAAAGGACATCACTAGTGAAATGACATCTTGTGGAAGTATAATTATCCTAATATTAACCTTGCTATTCTAGCAAATCTCCAATGTCTCTATTACAATAAGCACTATTCTATTTTTGTTAAAAAATATGATTATTAAACAAGCACTGCCTATAAATAATCAGGTAAGGAATTTTTAAACTCCCAAATTCACAATGTTTGCTAGTTGTTTTTCCCTCCAAACCCTTAAAGGACTAAGGAATGGGGTTAAAAACAATTATTTAACCAAAGAAAGATTAAAAGGAAGGGGCTGGCCTAGGAATACAGTGGTAATGCTGTACCGCTTACCTAAAAAATGTAAAAAAAAGGGGGGTGGGTTTCCAGGCGGGCTGGGCTGGGGAGCGGGAGAAGAGATTCAAATTAAATTAATAAATCAATAAAACATCAAAAGACCGTTTGCAGAAATTAGGAAATGGGCGTTAAACGGAAAGTTAAGGCGAGAACGTAAAGCAGAGCTCAGGAAAAGCCGGAAATAAGCATAGGCCGAGGCCCAGACTCCGGGGCCTAGAGAGGAAGGCGTCCCTGACGAAAAAGAATTCCATAAATTATACGCAAGGAAGCCGCTGGCCTTACATCGGACACAGGGGAGGGGACCCAGGTCTTTGTCACCCATGCGCAGGGACTTTACCGAACCCCGAGAATGTGACGACGACCACGACAGCAAACTCTCGGTTCCCGCAGCACCGCGCTTCGACCGTTTCTCTGAAAGGCGAAGATTAAACTCCCCGTCGTCGCCGTTAACGCTGCCCTCTTCTAAGATGGCACCTCTCCCTGACGCCCAGCAACTTGCCCGGAAGCAAGATGGCTAAAATTAGAGGGAGGGGAGGAAAGAGAGAGAAAAACAGTTTCACCCACGTGACCTGTGATCTCTTCGCTCTCACCATTATGAACGAAACAACTAGCTAACACGTCACTTCCGATCTGCACCGGAACCTCTTCAGTACGTCGGCGGGTCGGGAGCTGCGCGTGTGCGGGAAACAGAACGTTTTTTTTTCCCTCCCCTTTTTTTTGCTTTCTTTTTCTTTTCTTTTTTTTAAAAAAAGGCTTCTCGGCGCTGTTCTTTTAAGTCCTCTCGTTTGCCTATCCTGACTGTCGGCCATGGCGTACCGCGGGCAAGGCCAGAAGGTGCAGAAAGTGATGGTGCAGCCTATCGTATCCTTCTTGTGGCAAGGGAGAGGAAGCGGGCCCTCTTTGGGAAAGGGCGGGGCGAGGCCCGTGAGGGGATGGAGGCGAAGGGAGAGAGCGGGAGGCATTACGCCGAGAAAGTGGCACATTGCTTTGTTTTCTGGAAGCACTTTTTGGAGGGGTGGAAAGAGGTGGCTAGGCTGAAAGGCTTATTCCCTTGGTGACTCGGCCAGTCACGCGTGCTCGGGTAAGTTATGGTGAGACTGAAATAGGTTGGCTGAGAAAGCCGCCTTGGATATATCTGGGATATGCTACTAGATGGAATACCCAAATATAATTAATCCGGTTGGGAATAGGATTAACGTGGCTAAAATCGATTCAGAAAGCAACTGTTTAAGTTTAATTCTGCGGTGCCTCAGCCATCAAGACGCTTTCATTTTGTGGGAGTTCTTGTGCGGTGCTTTCCCTGTCCTGTTTACTTGGACAGTTAGAAGAAGAAATGTTGAATTTCTGTCAGAATGAATGGGGGTACTCCTTTTTGTGTATTTTTTTCCTAAATTTATTTGTGATAGAACCTCATTTTTCGCTACCTGCAGAATGTAAGTATACATAATTATATTTTGTCAAATTTAACAATATACTGGTATAATTACTGATATTTATGTACATTGAGAAGTTTTGTTTTCTTTGTATATATAATACAATTTCTCCTCCTTTAGCTCTTATAGGGAAGTGACCAATTAATGTGATTGAAGCAATTTTTGTAGAAAGCTACAGTAATACATTGTGCATTTCAGAAATATTAAAAAGTAGTAATTATCATTGTTGGAAACAAAAAATATTGAGAGCTCAAAAAGTTAAAAGTAGTAATAGTGAGTTTGAACTTAGTCTTTCGGTTTCTTTCAGAGTCTTTGCTTCTGATAAAATTATATGGTGTTGTAAATGGTATTAAATTAAGATCTCCTTATTACACCTTGAATAAATAACTCTGCTTTAATAAGGATTTCACTGAAAAAGTGGCAATGGAGAAGACTCAGTAAAATCAGGGTTTTTTGGTGAGGTGGGAGAGTTTTACTGCAATTTCTAGGTACCAGAGAGCACAAGAACTTGGGCCATGCAAATAAGATTTTAATCCTATGCAGAATTCCACAATGTCATGGTTTCTTTCCTGTTTACTTTGCAGAGATCCCGGATTCAGGTTTGGCTGTATGAACAAGTAAACATGCGGATAGAAGGCTGTATCATTGTAAGTAGCAATTGCTTTCACATACTTGTAAAGAAAAATGTAACTTAAATATGACAAAAATAAAGCATTTTGTTCTAAGTTTCTTATTGCAGCCTAAATGAAAACAATTAGTACAATAAGCATGTTTTTTTCTGAATCATCATTTGGAGTTAATTATGAAAAACCACTCATTCTAGTATTATCTGGACATTCTTGGGTTAACGGGAAAACCTGCATCAGTATATTTTCAGGGGTGTTTAAAACTAGCCCAATTGTTAAGTACTAACAATTTTTGTCTGAATGTTTAGTTAAATCATTCACTTTTTTATTGCTGTTTCTGTTACTTGTTCATTCTATTTCATTTATGATACATCATTTTATTGTGGGAATTTTGATAAAAGGACAAGATGGAGATATTTTAAAAACAGAGTAATCTGTCCCATTTGATGAATCTAACTGAATCCACCATTCTTGCATCTTTACTGCCATCCCCGATGTTGCTTCCTTCCATTGAATGTATTGTCACATTTCTCTGTTCTGTTTCACAGGGTTTTGATGAATATATGAATTTAGTTCTGGATGATGCTGAGGAAATTCATTCTAAAACAAAATCAAGAAAACAGCTGGGTAAGTGTAAGCTTTTTGGTAGTAAATATCAGACATCCTTTTTTGTTATTAGTAAAAAAAAACTTATTTAATTTTGTGAAAATCCATGATAGGAATTTCAATTTTGCATTTGAATATCAGTGAACAAGCCTCAAAGTAGGCTTGGAACTGCCATTTCGCTGTTCAATATATTTAATTGGCATGTTACTTTAGGTGAATAGTATCAAAAACTGCTGAAAGTCAAGGGTAGCCAAAACATGAATACTAATCCCTCTTTCTTGCCAAATATTGTCCATTAAGAAAAGTAGTACAATTTTCCTGTAAAACTAGGACGGGATTGAATATGGGAATTGTTTCCTGAAAATGTATTAAAATAATACCAGTATTTCTACACCATGACTGATAAGAACTGTATTTTTTTCCTACTGTAATTATATTTGCTTATATAGCATATCCTATTCTGAAATATTGGAATAGGTTTAAGTGAGAAATTTATGCTAAAATTGTGCTATGGGATATTTAAACCAGCTCATTATTTGGGAAAACTACAGATAGAATATTGTTAGAACAAATGCACAAACACTTTAATGTATTACATTTTTAATCTTACTCTTTTCCTTTGCAGGTCGAATCATGTTAAAAGGAGACAATATTACTCTTCTGCAAAGTGTTTCCAACTAGAAAATACCTAATGTTTCTGTTATAGTATTAACGTTTAATCTTTTAAAAAATGTGCTAGCTTAATGCTATCATTTCTGATTTGGTATCGGAGACAAGGATGAAGACAACAACTTAATGCTTCTGTAATTTTCAATAACTTTTTTACACTGGTGTGTAACTATTTCTTAATAAATTAATTTTTTTGTTAATATATTTACTTTATTACTATTTGGAGACAACTTTTGGAATGCAGATAATAGGAATAGCAGCAATAAACAGTTGTATTAGAAGATGCAATTATTTAAAGAAAGTACTAGTCAAAGAATATATAGCTTGAGAAATCAGATCCTAGTTTATGTGAAAGGACTATGACGCTCTCCAAACAGAAAATTACATTAAGGTAATTCACATTGGCTGCCCTGCTTTGCTTTTGTTATTTATTGGAGGATACTGTTCTACACAAGACATTAAAAGAACAGCTTGACAAGCAAAGTTAACATGGTAATACAGATTTCCTAGCTTTTTAGGTGAAAAGTTCCTTTCCTTGATTGCTGATCTTTGCAAGTGATATCTTCAGAGAACTCTTCATTCCCCAGAATAGATAAAAGGAGGAGTGACTTACTTCCTTGTGAGTATAGAGGTTTCTCAAGAAAGTTTTAAAAATAAAGGACAACCAATTTCCAGGTGTGGAATTATTGAGTAAACATGGAATTAATAATCACTGAGTGAACACAATTGCTAACAATAGTTTGGTAACAAAGCTCAGTGAGAATCCTTAACAAACCTTAGGTCAATAGTAAAACTTGGTTGAAAGGGGAAATTACAGCTTTTCTATACTCTATGTGACTGCTTGAGAAATAGAAGTAAAGATGAACACTATATTTGAGACTATACGTAGCATGTTTCTGTTCTACTTGAAAACTATCTGAAATATTTATAGCAAGTGCAACCATATAGCAATTTCCGGAAAAAGTATAACTTTTGGAACTGCAAGTTACCATCCTTGTGAAAGAAAAAAATATTTGACCAAACAAATAAACTACAATAGTAAATTAACAAGTATCTATCTACAAGGAATAGAAACAAAAACGCAATTCCAGTTGTATATGTTAAAGCTGGTAAGGTGATAAATGATTCTTGGGCCATTAATTGGTTCACTAAATAGTGGTCTATCTTTTGTATAATTGGAATTCCAGGAACTGAGACAAAGGTCACATGAGAAGCACCATCCCAGTCTGTAATATGATTCTGGTACGATCTTTGTTGAGAGGTTACAGGCTATGTATCTCTTGTTTCTTCAACTGTCAATGATCTATGAACATATTTTTGTCCTCAATAGCCCTGAAATGCAATCAGAAGTACAATCGTATGACCTATTAACAAAGCACAGCTAAAATTTCAGATTTCAGCAAAGGCCCTAAAATGTAAAAATACAGCAAAGACAAAACAATAGTTAATTTAATAAAAAAAACCAAGTCCTAATACCTATGAATATATACAAAGTATCTGAAAATCAATAAATATCCAAACATAAAATGCACCAGTACACCAAAGTAATATTTCATTCAGATTCAGTAGTTAGTTGTACCACTATTCTGTGAAACTCAAAAATTTCACATTGCTCATTAGGAAAAAAGTTAAGTGAAAATAAAACTGCCACCTATACAAGTGTACAATTCTAAACTGAAATAAACCAAAACAATTTTGATCACCTCACTTCAAAATGCAACTATTGGTAATTTACTATGAGAAAATATGTAGATCATTTGAATTTAGAAAAAAAACAAGCTAAATATCTCAAATGTAATGCATGGAATATAAAAAGGGGAATAGAGGAAAGTTATATTAAACTGCAGTCATTCAAGCAAGTGTAATGAATAGATGGCTGAACAAAGGCAATAAATTCAGGAAAATGCAATAGTTTTCACCTTAGCACACTTAAATAAAATTAGACTAATCAATAAAGAATAAGGTTATTAGTATTTCTAGTCTTGGTCATATATTACCTGCAAGATTAGGAGCAATCAGCTACCAGACTACCAGCTGCTAGAACGTATGAACAAGAAATTGATGTAACATTTTGGAAATTCCTTCTAAGTAGTGGTGTTTCTTTCTGTCTGGCTGTCTGTCCGTCCTTTCTTCCCATCCCAAAAGTGATTCTCTGTAAATGACTC